AGGTCTGCTCGCTCGGATGTGTTTTCTAGTCAGAGCTCTCAGGACGGGGAATCGTGTCTCGTCTGTTGCTTGTCGATCCAGCCCATCTGGAACACCAGTCAGACAACTCTGACATTGCCCAAGAAGTAGTGCCCAAGGTGTGTCTGTGGACAAGTCTCCCCGGGTGAGCTGTGGCAGAGAGCTCCGAGGTGTTAGGGAGGCAGGTGACTTTGTTGTGTGCCTTGTGTGGCTCCATCACCTATCGCTCCCATCGAAAGAGGCGGTAGCTCAGGGGGGAGCGGCAGGCCGCAGGCCGATTGGCAAGGCAAGAGGGCATCAGTCGCGCAGTTGTCGAGTCGGACAGCTCCCAGCGCCACGTCACGTCACGACTGGGTAGAACCTCGGTGTCAGGTCTCCTCGCTCGGATGTGTTTTCTAGTCAGAGCTCTCAGGACGGGGAATCGTGTCTCGTCTGTTGCTTGTCGATCCAGCCCATCTGGAACACCAGTCAGACAACTCTGACATTGCCCAAGAAGTAGTGCCCAAGGTGTGTCTGTGGACAAGTCTCCCCGGGTGAGCTGTGGCAGAGAGCTCCGAGGTGTTAGGGAGGCAGGTGACTTTGTTGTGTGCCTTGTGTGGCTCCATCACCTATCGCTCCCATCGAAAGAGGCGGTAGCTCAGGGGGGAGCGGCAGGCCGCAGGCCGATTAGCAAGGCAAGAGGGCATCAGTCGCACAGTTGTCAAGTCGGACAGCTCCCAGCGCCACGTCATGTCACGACTGGGTAGAACCTCGGTGTCAGGTCTGCTCGCTCGGATGTGTTTTCTAGTCAGAGCTCTCAGGACGGGGAATCGTGTCTCGTCTGTTGCTTGTCGATCCAGCCCATCTGGAACACCAGTCAGACAACTCTGACATTGCCCAAGAAGTAGTGCCCAAGGTGTGTCTGTGGACGAGTCTCCCCGGGTGAGCTGTGCCAGATAGCTCCGAGGTGTTAGGGAGGCAGGTGACTTTGTTGTGTGCCTTGTGTGGCTCCATCACCTATCGCTCCCATCGAACGAGGCGGTAGCTCAGTGGTAAGCGGCAGGCCGCAGGCCGATTGGCAAGGCAAGAGGGCATCAGTCGCGCAGTTGTCGAGTCGGACAGCTCCCAGCGCCACGTCATGTCACGACTGGGTAGAACCTCGGTGTCAGGTCTGCTCGCTCGGATGTGTTTTCTAGTCAGAGCTCTCAGGACGGGGAATCGTGTCTCGTCTGTTGCTTGTCGATCCAGCCCATCTGGAACACCAGTCAGACAACTCTGACATTGCCCAAGAAGTAGTGCCCAAGGTGTGTCTGTGGACAAGTCTCCCCGGGTGAGCTGTGGCAGAGAGCTCCGAGGTGTTAGGGAGGCAGGTGACTTTGTTGTGTGCCTTGTGTGGCTCCATCACCTATCGCTCCCATCGAACGAGGCGGTAGCTCAGGGGGGAGCGGCAGGCCGCAGGCCGATTGGCAAGGCAAGAGGGCATCAGTCGCGCAGTTGTCGAGTCGGACAGCTCCCAGCGCCACGTCATGTCACGACTGGGTAGAACCTCGGTGTCAGGTCTGCTCGCTCGGATGTGTTTTCTAGTCAGAGCTCTCAGGACGGGGAATCGTGTCTCGTCTGTTGCTTGTCGATCCAGCCCATCTGGAACACCAGTCAGACAACTCTGACATTGCCCGAGAAGTAGTGCCCAAGGTGTGTCTGTGGACGAGTCTCCCCGGGTGAGCTGTGCCAGATAGCTCCGAGGTGTTAGGGAGGCAGGTGACTTTGTTGTGTGCCTTGTGTGGCTCCATCACCTATCGCTCCCATCGAAAGAGGCGGTAGCTCAGTGGTAAGCGGCAGGCCGCAGGCCGATTAGCAAGGCAAGAGGGCATCAGTCGCACAGTTGTCAAGTCGGACAGCTCCCAGCGCCACGTCATGTCACGACTGGGTAGAACCTCGGTGTCAGGTCTGCTCGCTCGGATGTGTTTTCTAGTCAGAGCTCTCAGGACGGGGAATCGTGTCTCGTCTGTTGCTTGTCGATCCAGCCCATCTGGAACACCAGTCAGACAACTCTGACATTGCCCGAGAAGTAGTGCCCAAGGTGTGTCTGTGGACGAGTCTCCCCGGGTGAGCTGTGCCAGATAGCTCCGAGGTGTTAGGGAGGCAGGTGACTTTGTTGTGTGCCTTGTGTGGCTCCATCACCTATCGCTCCCATCGAAAGAGGCGGTAGCTCAGTGGTAAGCGGCAGGCCGCAGGCCGATTAGCAAGGCAAGAGGGCATCAGTCGCACAGTTGTCAAGTCGGACAGCTCCCAGCGCCACGTCATGTCACGACTGGGTAGAACCTCGGTGTCAGGTCTGCTCGCTCGGATGTGTTTTCTAGTCAGAGCTCTCAGGACGGGGAATCGTGTCTCGTCTGTTGCTTGTCGATCCAGCCCATCTGGAACACCAGTCAGACAACTCTGACATTGCCCGAGAAGTAGTGCCCAAGGTGTGTCTGTGGACGAGTCTCCCCGGGTGAGCTGTGCCAGATAGCTCCGAGGTGTTAGGGAGGCAGGTGACTTTGTTGTGTGCCTTGTGTGGCTCCATCACCTATCGCTCCCATCGAAAGAGGCGGTAGCTCAGGGGGGAGCGGCAGGCCGCAGGCCGATTGGCAAGGCAAGAGGGCATCAGTCGCGCAGTTGTCGAGTCGGACAGCTCCCAGCGCCACGTCACGTCACGACTGGGTAGAACCTCGGTGTCAGGTCTCCTCGCTCGGATGTGTTTTCTAGTCAGAGCTCTCAGGACGGGGAATCGTGTCTTGTCTGTTGTTTGTCGATCCAGCCCATCTGCAACACCAGTCAGACAACTCTGACAATGGCCAAGAAGTGCCGTGCCCAAGGTGTGTCTGTGGACGAGTCTCCCCGGGTGAGCTGTGCCAGATAGCTCCGAGGTGTTAGGGAGGCAGGTGACTTTGTTGTGTGCCTTGTGTGGCTCCATCACCTATCGCTCCCATCGAAAGAGGCGGTAGCTCAGGGGGGAGCGGCAGGCCGCAGGCCGATTGGCAAGGCAAGAGGGCATCAGTCGCACAGTTGTCAAGTCGGACAGCTCCCAGCGCCACGTCATGTCACGACTGGGTATGTGTGGCCCCATCACCTATCGCTCCCATCGAACGAGGCGGTAGCTCAGTGGTAGAGCGGCAGATTGCAATGATGCCTGTTGCAAGGTATCTGTAGGTCCCCAGTTCGATCCTGGGTCATCTCTTTTTTCGATTTGTTTGTCCTTTTTGGCCCCTCATCCGCGGCGTATTCGCGCGCCACCGGCTGGTGAATCCCTTCGATTGACCCCTCTTCTCGTGTCTCAGAACTCAAACACAGAGCTGCACAGTCGATCACTCCGAACACTCACCTCAGTAGACTTACCCCAACGTGTCCGCCAGGTCGTCCAGAGTTTCAACAGTTGAACCCACAGCGACAGCTGTGTACCTGTTTCACGGGGCGCGCGCGCGCGCCGTTTGCAGTTTGGTCCACACCTCCCCACTCATGATCTGCCGGTCCCCTGGTCGCCAAATCGCAGGGTTGACCGACGGAGCAGACAGGTACGTCATTCGAGCTCAAATTCCTCTCGAGACCACAACAATCCACTCCACAACAGCGCGTCGCGGCCTGTAGAGGCCGGGACCCGCCTGGCTCGGAACGTAATTACCTTCGTCTCAGCCGCCACCCCCAGAAATGGCATCTCGTAAGCAGAGGTTGCTAACGACTTGCTTGCGTCAAGCGTTTCGTTGCGCTGCGTAATGAACTTGGCAGACCGAAAGCCGGGCTAACTTTGAAGATTATGCCGTTTTGCACAATCAGGCCTGTGCCACGCGATGACGCCCAGCGCGGTAACCCGTCCGATGGAAAACAAGTCTGGATGACACTTCTCCCGGCAATTTTGACGCGGACGGGGGTGTAGTAGGAGCAACAAGGTAGTCTGATTCGAACATCACTATACCTGGGCCAAGGCAATTGAAACCGCCACCGCACAAAGTTCGCGCAGTGGGACGATCGAATCGAGGCTCAAGCGATCGTCTCTGTGCAGAGGGTTTGAATGGCATGGCTGGAACTCGATCAGACGCCAGACGTTTCCCCTTGTCTTCGACTGCTGAGTTGTACGTTCCGCAAGCTGGAATTTGAGTGTAACAGGTTGCTCACTTGTGAGGGTAGCTGGCTGTTCCGATGGACGGCCGTGACCAACTTCTCCCGGCTTACGACCAGCGAAGACAATCGTAATGATCTGCGCTAGAATCGATTGAGCGTACCAAATTCTGCATGAGTGCATGAGCAGGGTTAGCGGTGACCGTCTACGCGCAAGGATAACGTCGAGTTTTGGCCGATTGATAATGCGGCGGGCAAAGACACCGTGCCGGAACCATAAGACTGTGCGGACCATCGCCCTCGTGCAATTATCATTCCCGTCTTGTATGCTTGCTTGTCCCTATACTCCCCGTCGCCATCCAGCTCAACTTCGACAATGATGCTCAAGATCCTTTCCTTTCGTCTCGCACGGGCTTTGTCTCTATCGTCATCGTCGTTGCCGTCCTTGCTCTCGTAACCGCCGCAAGTATCCTTTGTCCTGATCGGAAATTGTCCGATGTCACCCGTACAACATCAATCAGACCTTCAAGTCAGCTGAAGCGGCTTTTGCGCCTGACGTAGTGCAGAAATCGCTCCACAGGCTTACGACACACCACCCTGACTGTCTCTGTCCTCCTCCTCTTTGCGAGATGTGGTAGGGAAAAAGGAAAACGCCCGATACCAGCCATTGCAAAGACAAGGTCTTCCGTCCGATGCCACATGCACTAGTAGTTTTCTGTTTCGATTCCGAGTGAGCGTGTCTATACATGCTCTTGCCTTTTCGACATTGAGGGGTCATGGGTCAGGGGTGAGTCCCGAGTAAGGATATCTATACTCTACAGGAGCTCTTGCCCTTTTGAGAGCAGCATCCGTGAGGTCAGACTTTGAGTTTTGACTATCTCGTCGGTATTTTTTCCACAGTTCGTCGTTTATCGGATTCCACATGCCGTCGGTTATCGGTAATGGACTTTCTATAATTCGTATACAGTACGTCTGATACTCGTAGGATACAATCATGTTCTCTTCCGGCCACTTCATTCGGCGCGACCTCTCAAGTCGACTTCCATTCGGTGTGGTGTTTCCCCTTCTTGGGATCCAAGGCGGCTTCGTCCTGGTAGAATCAAATTCATCAGTTTGTGACGTTCTGTTTGCCCTAAAGCTCTCGGACGACCCACTTTGGTGTCGTACTGATGGTCGCCGAACTAGCACACGGACAAGAACAGTTAGCAATCAGTACAAGCGAGCTTCACCAGCCTGGACCAGCTCACATAATCAAGCTCGGCTTCCTCAAAGTCTGGTATGACAACGAAAGGTCAGATCCCAATGCTATCGACACCGGTCATCAGTCACACGGCGCAACATACTGGTAGGCAACGAGTCACACCCGGCTTGCTTCAACCAGGACAAGGTGGCATCGAGCGCGGGCGTGATCGAGTCGCTCTCGAGACTGATCTTGCAGACTCGCTTCAAAGCGTCGTACGACTTTCGCAATTCCTGAGCGATCTTGGGGTTCTCCAACAGGTTCTTGAGTTTCGGGTTCTCGGTATAGATCGGCTGCAGGATGTCAGAGATACCGTCGCTCTGGATGATACAGCCGGCCCTGTTGAGGTGCTAACCATAGTCAGCGATCAAATCTGCGTCGACACAAGAACGCTGTCAACTTGCCTCCAGATCCCGATGACGTTGGCATAGTTGATGTTCCAGTGTTGATCTTCGGAGGCTTGGGCAATGATCTATCGGCAGTAGCGAGGTCAGTCACGAGGAGTCGCTTCATCTGACGAGCACCAATCACTCACATGCATGCCCTGCACATAAGATCCCAAGATACCAGCGTAAACGGCTAGCCTCAAGTCCTTGAGGAATTCCTTCTGATCAAAGGACTTGTCGTCACCAAGCCTCTTTGGTAAGGGAAGGTCGAGTGCCTCGTGGGCCTTCAGACGAGTTCGACGGAAAGCCGACGTGATACGAAGTTGGTGAGCGGCAGCGATGGTAGGTGCCGCTACGTGTCGCCCGGCGATCTCCCTAAGAGTCCATACACCAGTACCTTCCGAGTTGTCTGCAATGAGGAGTGAAATGTAAGTCTCGCCCAAATCTCAATATAGCTTCCCAACTTACCGACATCCTGAGTCACCTTGTCCTCGATTCCGTCAACGATGCCCTTCTTCATGTCCAAACCGTCTCCATGCCTGAATCGAAGGATTTCGGCTCCAATCTGCGTGGCGGGTTAGCCTTCAGCTGGACTCGTCTTGACTACCACGAGCGGGACCAACCTTGAGCAAAAAGTTGTCGTACAGCTCTTTCCCCTCCTGGCCTTCTCCAGCCTTGTCATCTTCGCCTCCCTTGGCGTTGGTGCCGTTCCACTCGTCAAAGAGGTCCGCGACGGCCTTGTTTTCCAAGCCAGCGGTATGGTGCAGCAGGTAATGGGCCTCGGCAAGGATCGACAGGTGACCTTGTTCGATACCGTTGTCTACAGGTGTGATGGGAACAGTCAGCTCGCTGCTCCGTAACACCGGTTGAACCCATGCTACCTACGAATCATCTTGACGTAATGTCCCGAACCACCCGGACCGACGTAACACACGCAAGGGTTCCCCTTGCCGTCCTTGGCGGCCCATTTCTTGAGCTTCTCTTCCACCTTGGCATACGCCTCGGTAGTGCCCGAAGGGGAGATCGACGGACCGTGACGGGAAGACTGGTAGCCTCCAGAGACACCAGTGCCGACGTAATGAACATTGCGGTTGACGCACTTTCCCTGACGACGCTCTGTCTCCTCCCACCACTCGTTTCCGCCTGGAAGAGAGTATCAAACATCAGTTCGGAACTCTCATGCGGGCGAACCTCAAGTACTCGCCATCAATGACGATATCACCGGGACTGAGAAGCGGCAAAAGTTCATCCAGAACTTTATCGACCGCCGGCCCATGCGGCAAGCTCATGACAAAGACCCTAGGTCCGTTCTTCCCGGTATCGAACGAAGCCACCATGTCCTCCAAGGAAGAAGCCCGAATGAGATGGATTCCGATGTTCTCTCCGTCATCAACGGCCTTGTTCAACGCATCGTCCGACTGCGGTAGCAGGATATCATCGAAAGCGTGAGTTTCGTAACGTCAATAATGTCTTCCAGCCCGGCTACTACATACGGTGTCGTACTGCAATGGCGGTCCACGCGATCAGCCTATGAATCGACTGAGCTAGAGTCCGTTTCGACGTACGATGGCGACAGAGTCCCCCTGCTCGGCAGCGTTCAAACTCCCTGTCGAATCCTGCTATAAGTTACCCCTATCTCTGTAGACAGAGACTCGCGAGCTACTCACAACCACCTCCCATACTGCCTGCGAATCGCAGAAAACCGTCAGCTCATGGAGTGAGGGCCTGCAGACCATGGTTCATACCTCCCCCGATCATTCCCAGAGTGGGGACCGCCTTGTCCTGAACAGCACTGCCTTTATTTTCCGTCATGCTTGCTCGTTTATCTTCTCGCGTCAAGACTTTTGATCCTCGACAAGCAGCTCTGGGTGCGAAATAGCTATGCCCGTATTAAACGACTAATTCCTGGCCAGACTAGGAATATCCTGTGAGACCTTTGAGGCCTATGACCTATGGCCTATGAGGCGTGAGAAATGAGACGTCGTCACCTTCGTAATCTGTGGGCTCAAGGCCGAACAGTCCCCGAACTCGTTTACGTCGTCCCGTGACGTCAGCTACGGAATCAGAAATACATCTATCGAGTCGAGGCTGGAGGTACGCAAACAGGAACCACAATCCACACAGATCATAGGGTACTCCGAACTGGGGCAACTTGTACAATTCTCTTTCCTTCCAGGCATAAACACGTTCACGAATCCACCCTATTTGTTTTCCCTAAGCCATCTCTACGTCACCATCAGCCGGCGCGGCGGTAGCGGTGGTAGTAGCGGTAGTGGCAGGCTGAGATACAGCACGGCGTTATCGTCAGATCTACGAGCGCTTCGCACCAAGAGATAGCCCGGCGACTTGCCGCATGGTAGGTATCGAGCTCCTTGTCGAGGTCCTCAGCCATAAGAGGCTTGCGACTCTTGGGTGCAGGCTTGTCACCCCTCGCAGACCTCGGTCCCCTTTCAGACCTACCTCCTCGGCTAGGTGCGGGTCCAGAAGGTCGGGGAGCCCGAGTAGCTCCTCGGCCCCAAGAGTCCGACCTGCGGTACAAGCAGAGAGAGTTGGACCAACGGTCCGAAATCGACACCCTCAAGCTCCAACTTACCCGGCGTTCCCATTTCGGGCGGGACCCGTTGACCTCCGATCGTTGTTTCCGGAATCACTGCGCATCTTTGAACCACCTTCGATCCTACCCAACAGGTCGCTACCCCCTTTGGACATCTGTTCAGTCGCACGGGGCTGATAGTCGTCAAACCTTATGTTCAATGCTTGCCCTACGAGTGGGTTCGGGCAGGATCAGCATCCGGTCCAGCGCAAGGCATCGCCTTCTCTGATCGACTCTGGCTCACCTTTAGCAAGGTTACCGTCGAACCGGTTGATGGCGTCTTTGGCCTGCTTGTTGTTCTCGTAATTGACAGTAGCGACCCCAGTCGAACGTCCAGATCGATCGTACTGTTTTCGAGAGTCGTTCGTTGTTGAGACCATACGCATTGTAGAGGGGAGAGAAGAAAAAGGCCGCCCGGCGGGAAACGTATGAGCTTCTCGTATCTCAACTGATGGTAGGCATGAATACCGTCAGCCCATGACTTAGAACCAGGATCAGTAGAAGACGGTAGCCTTGACTCACTATCGCTCCGACAGAACAGCGGGAGAATGAGCACGCCCCGAGTAGACATCGCGTCTTGCGCGTGTATTGACCTTTCCACCTTGCCTGCTGCATCCAGCCCATCTTCGCACGATCGCCGTAACGGATCGTTTTTTCGCCCAGGTTGTCGGTCGACGACAGCCTTGATTTGTCGTGCAACACATGCCGCTCGGGTCGTTTACATCTCAAGAGGGAAGGAGGCGGAGGAATCAGATTCTTACGCGAATGATCGGGCCATCAACGATGGTTCCGGCTCTCGAGAAGATGGTCTGTACCGAGAAAGTGAGCAGAAGTAGAACCATAGATGCGGGTGAAGAGGGTGCTTACGGTCAGATCATCTTTGGTGACTTCATAGTGAAGGTTAGAAATCAACAGCCTCGTCTCCCTGCCCTCGGCAGCACGAGGCCTGAATCCAGCGCCTCCAGCAGGTCGGCCTCCTCGCTGATTGTACATGTCGTGAGTCCAGGCTCCGTCGGTAGATCGAGGAGGCGGTCGCTGCGTGGAAAATGTCGTATGTCAGCTGATCGCCCCAAGATGTCTGACAAGAATGCTTCGATACGCACAGCATACGGGGTAGCGTTGCTGGCGGGACGGCTGGGTCGAGGAGCCCTGTTTGCGGCAGGACGTGATCCCTTGCGGTCCGAGATACGTTCATCGAGGCTCTTTTCAACGTCCATCGTATTAGGTCAAGATAATGTAGCTAGATGGGATTGTCTGTATCGGCGGGCTTCTCCAGCTATGAACGAGTGAGTGAATTGGTTGAAGAGAAAGCTTGTATAGCGAAATGGACCGATGCACCGATGAGAGGCCTGAGAGGGATCATCATCAAGACCAGCGTGAGGAAGCGGGCGGCAGGTCTCCACTGACGGACATAATTCGATTGTTTGCCATGTCCGTCTCGACCATCGCGCGTCGCGTTCAGGAATGGGATGCCGTTACGAACGACCTTGTCAACACAAGAGTCGACCTCGCGCATACATCTCTTTGCACTTCGAACTCGATAAAACAACCTCTATCCAGACCATTCTTGCCTAATTCCATCTCGAAGCTATGTCCGGCCTATTTCCCGTCCAAAAGTCGAAAACGCGGCGCCCAAATGGCAACTCGTCAATGTCCACGAGCACACCGCTGGGAGCGAGCTCGCGACTGTCGGGAAACAATCACTCTGGCGGACAGTCTCAGCAGAACCGACAGCTCTCGGAGGAGCAGAAGCAGGAGATCAAGGAGGCTTTCGAGCTATTCGACCAGGATCATGATGGAGCGATCGATTACCACGAGCTCAAGGTGGCCATGCGAGCGCTCGGGTTTGAGCTGAAGAAAGCCGAGGTCTTGAAGTTGATCCGGGATCACGATAGGCAAGCGGATGGCCTGATGGAGTACGACGACTTTGTCAAGATTAGTGAGTGCCGTGTTCCAGATCTGCTCTCCCTAATATTGTCGGAGCTTACTATAGAAGCACAACTACTCTTTTAGTGACCGCCCATATCCTCGCTCGAGACCCGATGGAAGAGGTCAAGCGAGCATTCAGGCTCTTTGACGACGAGGGAAGGGGGAAAATCAACATTAAGAACCTGAGAAGGGTAGCAAAGGAGCTTGGCGAGTCGTTGGGGGAAGAGGAGCTGTGAGTCGTATGGCCTGTTCCGGAAACTCGATCAGGCAAGCAGCTGAACACGGTATCCTTCGACTTCCCAGACAAGCCATGATTGATGAATTCGACCTGGACCAAGATGGCGAGATCAACCTCGACGTCAGTATGTTCCGGGTAAATCTCATGTGACAGCTGCTGACTCGAATCCTCATGCAGGAATTTATCGCCATCATGACAGACGGGGAATGATCGTTCCTATCGCCAGACCTTACCTTCCCATCACCTTCGATTTATCTCCCATATCTGTTTCTCGCCACCTGATGATCTCGATGATTCCCTCTGTTCTCCTGTAAACCTTCTAATGATCATAACGACCTCAATTCGGCCTTGTATACATGGAAATCGGGAGTACCGGTACATCCCGGATCAAGATCAATACTGCCTGATTCCCCCTTCTCCTCCTGCGACCCAGATGTTGCCCTCCCCAGCGCCTACCGCGACGCTGTTGACAGGGACCGCTTCCCATCCAGCATACTCTTCCACTACCTTGACCGAGTCGCTCTCCAACATGGATGCTCGGAAAGGTAGTCCCGAGGCTGGAGTGACGATTAGATCCACCCCGTTCCTCGTCTTGACGAACGCCAAGTCATTGATGATCGCTTGATTCCGGGAAAAAATCCGCATGCTCTTGCTCTCCCCGTCCGCTGACATCGTCGAGAGGTCCCTGACCACGACAACACCCTTGGCTGAGGCAGACGCCAGGAGGTGGCTTTCAGGATCGTAAGCGATCGCATGAATCGCTCCCCCTCGGCGATCTTCCGGCACCGAGGCCGACGGCGGAATATGCGGGAAAGTCTCGATGACCGTCTTTTTGCTGGCCAGGTCAAAGACCGCTAGTAATCCGTTACTGGATGACAAGCCGGTAAAGACGAGCTTGTCGGCGGTATCTTCCTGTAACTCGCCAGCAAGCGTTCTCGGTACAAAGTCCTCCTCTGCCAGGAAGCTCGAGTTGTTCCCATCGCCCAAACCGCTTTGCCGCCTGATGCTCTCGCGAAGAGCGCTCGCACCCTCCCCAACGGCAATCGTCTCGACCCCGCTAAAGCCCTTGGTGTGCATTGTCGAAACGCATTTCCCAGCCCCAACGTCCCACAGCTTGATGCTCCCATCTTTACTTCCAGAGAGGATGTTCCTGCCTACCCCGAGGATGGCAGTCGTGGTTACCGCTCTCTTGTGGCCTGTCAACGATCGAGGGTTGATCCCTGTTGTTGCAGAAAAGATCCGGATCGTTGCGTCTGATGAGGCAGTAAGTACGACCTGCAAAGTTGAACAAAGCGGCGATCAATTCTGGGTTTCACCTCTTGCAGACCTGGACGGGACTTTCGATCTCAGCTTACCTCTCCGCTTGGGAACCACTTGACGTCCAGCACATCCCCGACATGCCCTTTAAGCTTGACAGGCTTGTTTTTCGGCGCAGAGCTTGACGGCTCCGTCGAATCTTGTACGTAACAGTATCCGTCTGGTCCTCCGTAGACGATGTGATTGCCATTAGGCGAGACGTCGATAACGTTGAGATCCAAAGGGGCCTGTGATAGATGGCATACACACCAGGCCGTATGTCAGGGCAGGATCCACCGATGAGAAAGCGGTCAACTCACCTTCGAGTCTTCATTAGCAGGTGTGTTCACGGTATTCCTGGGGAAACGGACCAAAGTCGACTCGAGTTGAAGAGACTCGGCTGCAACCTCGAACGTTCTCTGTGCGGGACATTTTCGATCAGAGGATGATTGCTGTTGTCACTCCATCCGTTGATCTACTCACATGTGACTTTCTCTCTATTCGAACTCCATCCCGCGCTTGGAGAGACACTCCTTGTAGACCCTCGCCGGTCTTCCTGAGGCGGACTTTGCCATGCACAGAGGTTTGGCCTTCTTTATACTATCAAAGTGGATTATTCAGCTAACGGTCTTCGCTAGGGAAGGTCGAACCATCCTGCTTACACATGATACCCAGAAGTCTTCCTGTTCGAACACCGCCTGTGCGACGTCATCGAACACGGCAAGAGTATCGTGCTAAAGATTGAAAGAGGAAGGGGTTAGGGGTATCAGCGGCTGCGTCGCGAAAGAGGTTCCTTGTCGCCTACCGACCTGGATGTCGATGGAGGATAGCAGCTGGAATTTTGCCATGTTTCTACGCAGTTATCAGCCTAAACATATAGCGGCTGTCATGCAGGAAATGAGTGGGTCATGGTCGAAAGTAGCTGAAGTATTATTTTGCAGTCAATTGTGTACTTGCGTACTTGTGTTTGCCCGGACCAGAGCGATTCGCAAGCTCGAGGTTGAGAAGGAGGGGAACTGCGGGGTCTCCACACACAGACACACACACTTACGGCATCGCTCGGTCGTCGCCGGCTTCCCTCCAGATCCTGGGCCATCCCATCGTATCCATCCTACTGAGAGTGTCAAGTGTCGGTCTCTCCCCACGAAGGAGGTCACTGCATTTGCGACCTAAGATCATAGATAATCGGACCACAACACCAGAGTTATATATCCATATCAATCAGACACACGCCCGATCCCGTCGACTTGTCGGTCTTGCCATCTTAGCTACCGCCACGGGTGTCGTGATAGACGTCCGCAAATCAAGGGGGCGACCCCCTGCCGAACGGCCATGTCGCCCTTCTCGTTCCTGTCCAGCTTCACCTTGCCCAGCTTGAGCTCCGTCAATGCATATATCCCGAATCTATCTCTACCGGAAAACATTCAAAAGAAGCTGGTCTCTTTCGTACTCAGGAGGACACTTGGAAAGTTCGTCCAGCATGATGGGCTTCTCGGTGACAAGGTCGAGACCCAGGTAGCTAGTGGCAGGATCGCTTTCGGACGTCTCGAGCTCGACCGACAAGTATGTCTACTCTCTAGCATGGAAGGTGTCGTTGCCCCGGGGCTGACGTAATGACTGCCTCGATCTTGCAGGCTATCAACTCTTACCTTCCCCCAAGCATACCCCTGACCGTCACTTCAGGCTATATAACCGATGCCGACATTCAACTTCCGTTTCCCAACCTCCTATCTGCACCTCTTGACATATGTATCGGAGAGGTCCATTTGAACCTAGCTCTTCGAGAAGTGGTCAAGGGCGGCGAAGAAGATAGAGAAGTCGAGCGGGAATCCAACTTGGAGCGGTCGGTCTGGGCGGTTACTGGGGAGTTCCTCTCCGAATCGCTCTCTCCCGGGGAGAGGCAAGACCTCTCGGAATCGATAGCTCTACCATCCGAGGGCAGAGAGGGTCTGGAGGAATCTATCTATCACGCTCCTGGTGGTTTCCCGGTTCCGAAACCAGACTCTGTCGCAGATCCCCCTTCGGCGTCGATACTAGCTTCGGTCATCGAGAGTATCCTCTCTCGTCTGCACGTAGACGTCACAAGTATTACCATCAGGTTGAATCTGCCTTCGCCTCCGGAGGTCGTTCAGGAGCAAGCTCGCGACCTGGAAGAGTCGGACATCTCCATCTCTTCTTCACGGCAGGTGCAGGCGGTTCCTGAAGCGGTAGAGATCAAGCTAGAGAGAATCTCTTACGGCTTGGATGGCTCGGGAGGGGAGAAGATGCGCAAGATGCGAGTGGCCGACGTAGCAGTATGGATTGTCGCCAAAGATCCCAAGGATGTGGAAGAGATCCGCGACAGTGTTGCTTCTACATCGTCAAGCAGTCATTCCGGTCAGAAGACTGAACCCGGCGGATCGGGCATCACGGGTCAACCGTATGGGCGATCGACCATGCTGGGCGAAGCAGAGAGCCTATATGAGAGCGCCCTCGGTTCGTCTAATGCTGCTGAGGAGCAGGAACAAGTCATCGACCCATTCGGTTCTCCAACCGGATCCAACTACGAGTCTGGCTGTATCGACGATGAAAAAGGGGAACAGGACTGGACACCCCATCGGATATGTTCGTTCGGGAAGTCAGGCGCGGAGTTGAGTTTCCAGGCATTGCAAGATGGCACGACTCGACCAATTACTCGTTTGGAGCTCGGGGACATCCAGCTGGCATTGTCAATCAGCGATGTGGAAATACTGATAGGCCTGGTTTCGTCATGGACCTCTCGTATACCTCGTTCAGCCGGTCAGGATACCGCCGTACCATCTGGCTCCGGCTCGACCCAAGCGGTGGTACAGATTGCTAGTATACGAACCTCGCTATATCTAACAGAAGCGAACCAATCAGGTCTGATTTTCTGTACGGATAGAACGGTGGATGGGACCCTTCCTCCTAGGACGGCTCTTAACCTGGTCCTTGACCTGGTCCTTGACCAGATCACAGTCTCCTCGGACGGAGATGCGACCCGTATGGACGTCGCGGATATCAAGCTCGTCTGGAATCAATCAAGACAGGAGGGAAAGATGGCAACACCTGTCACGCTCATCTCCCTATTTTCGGTGGGCGAGGAAAAGTCTATGTCGGATACAGGTGACAAAGGTCCTGAGAACGACGTCCAGTCAGCCACCCTCAGACCGAAATGTCATTGGGACCGGCCTCCTCTGCGGGATGGAACACGTACCGTGCAGGCAGGCTGTACCATCGAGGTTCAGCAGGGTTCTGGTGAGCCATGCTTCAATTTCGGCACCGGGACGTACGGCTGACTTGACACCTGAATTTCAGTCAGTACGGCAATCCCGGGTGTTGAAGTTTCCCTTGACCTTGCTGTGGTGGAAACCATGATGCCCTTCCTCCATCAACTCTCTACCGTCTTTGCCCAAGTACCATCCTCGGACGAGCGCCCACAAACATCTGCACGGGAACCCACAATGTCGGAGTACAAGCTTTCTTGTCATCGTCTCAGATTGAAAGCCGGATTCCCGCTTCAAGACCGCTTTTATGAACTCGATTCTCACAAGGAGAATACTGACCGTCAGGTCGTCCTTGATCTATGTGGTGTCCTTGCCTCTGCAAACGGAAATGGACGCAGCCCGTCAATGGTTTTTGATACCTTGGCGATCTATTTTGGCCTGGCGACCGGTAAGACCTATAAGGCAGGCTCTTTCATGTCAGGGTTCTTCGCTCAACCTTGGTCAATTCGGTCAGCAGATGGGTTGTTGTCTGCAGTTTGCAAAGTCTCCTCGGGTGCATCAGCTGGCGAAGCCTCTTTGACTATGGTCGAAACCGATGGCCAGAACGCACATTTGCATGCACAGCTACCATTACTGTACATCTGGCTCGATGACCAGGTCTGGGCGGGAATGCAGTACCTTGCAGATGATCTAAGTCTCTGGCTTGACTCGATCGCGAACGGGGAGGATCTTTCTACTCGAGACAACATCAAGCTGGTCAGCAGCCGATTCTTTGGTCCTATGAGTACAGTTTCTGCGATGGATATATCTGTGGAACGACTGGAAGGCTTGCAACGAAAGACCCTTCGCCTTGAAATCGCCTCGAGTGAGTTGCAATGGATTGCGTACTGTGGTAAGCAACGTTTATTGAATTGTGCTCAACATCAAATTGGGATAGTTTACGTCGAAGTTCAGGGCAGGGATCACAATTTGAAACTCGACGCTGCTACCGCCGAAGTCGATATTTACGCGCTTGAGGGCAAAGAGGTCAGTCGAATCCCTTGTCATCGATGACTGTGTACACGGTGTTGATCTACGATACGGCAGTCTGGAAACATAGTAAACGTGGATCTCGCTCATCTAAAAAGCTCCCTACATCAAGCTTCAGCTCCAGCGATCACCCTTTTAGGAGAGCTTCCGGGACGGACCAAATCAGTGAGGCCACATCTCCTCTATCCTGCTATACATCGATGAGCTAATCACAGATTAACGTCGCAGCCCGCTTCGGCCAGACCGGCTTTATCATTGCGACTAGCGACTATCCAATCGACCCAAACCTTACTCAAGCAAACAAGCATAGATTTTAATCTATCATCATCCGCCTTGTACACCAAGGGTCGAGAACCTTGGATGGATGGGATCGCAAAAGCTCTTCAAGCTCCGCGCGATGTAAGCCTCTCAGAGAATCCATCTTTGGGTCCCGCAATGACGTCCCACCGCATACAGGTCTTCGTTGACGTCGCTCCCAGCGATATCACCAAGGTTTCCATCAGCGTAGACGACGTCGCTATCATTTATCGGACCAAGATGGAAGGCGCGCTCTGCTTCGACGTCAACCAGTTTCGCGTTCGAACTACTAAAAGACATCATGCGGAAACCCAAGACTTCACCCTTAAGAGTGACGAGATCAGACTTCACGCGGCTGATGTTGATGACAAAGCAACATCGTCTCATATGCAGCCGGAAATGCTACCTTGGGAGGTTTGTTCCTGTTTCAGCCTTATCAGGTTCGCATCATGAAACCGACTGACGTTAGCACCTTGCTATCTCATTAGACATCATCTTACTGTGATGTGGCTAAATTGCTGAACTTTCGAGCTAAGCTGTCCCTGCGAGACCATTCGGAACAGGTCCACGTATGTGAGACCATCATCCGCATCGTCGAACTTCCTGCTAATTATCCATGCAGATCGATATCAATCGCATGGACACCACTGTTCATGGCTGCACCGATTCGTTGCGCACGACTGTTCAACATCTAGGCTCGATGGTCGCATCCTTCGCCACGACGCCGGAACCTCCTGGAAAGCCGGAAACTGGACATAGCCATGAACTGCCCAATCCTCAAAAGCCCGTATTCCAGCGCGATATCGATATTGTAGAAAAGGCATTCAGTCGCGAGGACATGAAGCCCGCCGAGGGCGATCTCCTTGACGACGATCTGCCTACTCATCGACAATACTTAACGATCTCAAGGAAGGGCAAACTGGACTCGGCAAATCAAGAGGATCTAAGGGGAGCAGACGGGATCGCGATAGAATGTCAAGATTGGTTCGAGATGGACTTGGATCATCACGACGAGCTTTCAGATCTCCTAGCCAAGTTATCCCCGGCTACGTGAGTTGCCCTAGACTCAATGGCATTATTCGCCGAAACCTGATGATGTGTTCACATTGCTACAGGGAAAAGTTCTCTTTACGGATTGTCACCGAGAATTGCAATTTGAAGTTTGAGCTATTTGACGGGTACGATTGGGCTACAACAAGGCATGTCATCGAAGTTGAGCGGAAAGCCATGCGACGGCAACTGCAACGTATTCGCCAGGTCTTGGCCACAGGGCAGGAAGCTCCCCAAGATGTTTCCGAATTGAGCGGCTTTGCCTTCAATTCTGTTCATCTTGGCCTACCGGAAGACACCGAATTCTCGAGCGCCGCGGAGCTTGCAAGTGCTATCGATATCAGCCTAAAGAATCTAGACAATGCATTGGAAGGCCAAACTGAAGGATGGCAAGAGCTAGACGACAATCGGCCTCCTACCGCTACTACAGTCGAGAGGAAGGCAGGAAGAAGTTTGAACCGAGCGTCGAGAGCTGGCATCGAGTTCAAATTACTTGGAATCCACCTGCAATACCTCAAACCTCTCTTTCCAAATTCATCTGGCTTCGATTCCAGCTTGGATCTTAGCGTGGAATCGCTAGAGATTCTGGATAACCTTCCGTCCTCCACATGGAAAACCTTTCTGAAGACAAGACCTGCTGAGCGATCCGCACATAGACCGCTCAAAACCGAACCCGGCGCAAGCCGATGCCAAATCCGGTGGTTCGGTTCTTCAGGAAATGCCAGTTCGGAAGCCAGCTTCAAGGCGAGTTTTACGGTTGAATCTACCGCACTCATACCATTAACACTGATTCTGTATGATAGCTGCATATTCTGCCCTTGAGAATGCATGTCGACCAAGATGCTGTCGAGTTCATCAAGCGATTCATGTCCTTTTCCCCTAATCGACCCGAGGAAGAGGACCCGGCGGCGAAGACCTCCTCAACGCCGGCCCAGTTCATTCGTAAGTAGCTGTATCGAGGTGAGTATAGTCCGAGTGAAGTCTTGGCTGAGCGAATTTCGATGGACGCAGAACGAGCCGAAGTCTCGCCCGTCGAGATCAAACTAGACTACAAGCCGAAGCGTATTAACATGAATTCGCTACGGAAGGGGCATCTGGGCGAATTGATCAACCTCTTCCACTTTGAGGACAGCAAGGTGGTTTTGAGGCATGCAACAGTCCGAGGAGTATGTGTTTGGTTATCCGAGGGTCTGATGCGCTTCAGGTACTGATCCGTCTTGCTTTGCATGCAGGTATCAGGCTGGGGAGCGGTGTACGGTGTTCTCCTGCAAACCTGGAGCCCAGACATTCGTGCCAACCAAATGTCAGATTTGGTTGGCGGCGCGGCCCCCGTACGCTCCTTGATCAGGGTAGGCGAAGGTGTGGCCAACTTGGTGTTGCTACCGATCGAGCAATACCAGAAAGATGGAAGGATTGCGAAAGGTATCCAGCGCGGCGGCAAGTCTCTCGCCAAAACAACGACGCTTGAGGCCATCAAGGTTACTTCCAAGCTGGCAACGGGGACTCAGGTCATACTCGAAAAGGCGGAAGCGGCCCTCAGAGGGAGCTATTCCACACCCTCGGAAGTTATCGACAATGGTAGCGAGAATCAACAGAAACATAGCCGCTACGCAGAGCAACCTTCCGGCGCACGTGAAGGTTTGACGCAGGCATATACCGCATTAGCTCATGACCTCGGATCCGCCGCGCAGACGATCCTTGCGATCCCGATGGAGGTTCACGAGAACGCTGGCAGTGGGGAGGTACGTGGAGCATTTTGTGCACTCGGTCAAACCGTGGTTAATTAGGGGACTCTCTCACATGACAGGCTACTGGCAGGACTGTTATTCGAGCCGTGCCTCTTGCAGTCGTTCAGACTATGATGGGCGTTACCAACGCAAGCCGAAAGACCCTACAAGGTATTCGCAATCAGCTGGATTCGCAGGTGCAGCAGCAGCTACAGGAGAAGTACAAGTAACGAAACCGATCACGAAACCCTATATTACGGCGCATTGATGACGTTGACGAATACTACAAAATATTGTACCTGGACGCGACGATCACAACGAATAATCGTGATCGCATATCTCTAAATTAGGTATGGGGGTTCTCCTTCTTCTCCTTGAATCCATTCGCTTTCCAGTTGTCTAGCGACTCGGGCCAGTCGGGGATCACACCTTTGACCTGTCCTTCGTGGGCAAGAAGCACCATGATGTTCTCCTCCATCGACATGCGGCTTAATCTTCCAATCGACACGTAGGCTTCGGTGGGATTCTCGTGCATACTGATGCGTGATCCGTTGGTATTCGGCATCTCGAAGAACGGAATCCTGGTCCGACGGTCCACTTCTCCAGGTGCAGGTACCGGGAGGTAAAGCGATTGGTGATGCGCCGTGTCACCAGCGAGAACCAGATCTGCCACGAGAGATTGCGGGTTAGTCTGCGGATCTGGATGCGATGACAGATCGTCCACCTCACAGGTATCGGGATCCGTGGTCACCCTCGCCAGAGCGTTCAGATGTCCGCGACAATGCTGCGTGTCGGCCAGTACGTCAATGAACGTGAAGCAGTCTGACCATTGATATGGAAAAAAACACTTGCCCCCTCATTGATAGCTAGCCAGAGGCTGCCGTCACCGAAATAATCCAGCGCGTGTTCAAAGCACGCAACCTGCTGCCACTTGCCCCTGATAGACGGCGCACTCGATCCCACATCCACAGGGGGCAGCTCTTCAAGTTGCTTCTCGTCAAGCCACTTCTTCGGCCACGACCCATCGGGGTCTTCAGGATATCCGGGGCCGATTGACGCTAGGGAACCCGGGCCGAGGACTACTTTGACTCCTGAGGCCAGCGTATCCAAATCCCCGAAATGATCGAAGTGCTGATGGCTCAGGATCACTTCCTTGATCTTGCCTGTATCGTAACCACCCTCCCTGAGTCTCTTGATCGGGCCAGGACCGGGATTGGCTTTAAACAGTTTTGTCAACATGACATCGCGAATGCGACTGTCGGTGGGCAAGCTGAGAACATTTTCCCTTGGGCGAGACACGAAAGAGACCACTACTTACGGGGTGGCCTTTTCCAGATTCTACATAAACCCAGGAGGTGAAATAGTAATTCGCATCAATCGAAATGTCCAACACGCTCAGCGAACCGAGATAGGGGTAACAATGAACGGACCTCCATCAGACCAAGGTCCCATAAGTAAGCCTGCCCATCTTTCTCGATAAGATAGGAGTACGCTGGAACCGTAAGATCATCCTTGGATCCATGTACATCTGCGAGGATTCCCGCGGGAGCAGTGAGTTCTCCGGTAGGAATCTGATGGACCGCAACCTTGGCGTTCTTGTCGGCTGAGCCGGGGATGGCGTGGAAGGTGTACGTTTCAGGTCGAACAGGTTCGAGCCCGCCTTGGTTTGATGATTGGTCAGCACTCATCTTCGATGTGTTGTCTTCTTGTTGGTTGGCACAGGGCAAGATTGGAGCAAAATTACTATCGCGCCACGTATATCAAGCGACGTCTCGGCGATGATATAGATGACCGGAGAATAGCGTGTTGATGTCACCAACGGGAGCAATTGCCAGCCATGACGACAGCTCGGTCCAACGTATCCATTTAGCGCTACAGATCTCATTTGGCTACAACTGTTTCGAATTCCTGATTCACTTTGTCCTATAGTTTCACATTCCGCCTCCTACCTTTGACATCGATTTATACGGAGGAAGCGACAGCCAAGTTTGTGCTTGTTGCAGCCAGTGTGTCCCACACACCGCACACAACGTATCCGGGCCATCCGGACCCAGCTTCCACTCTGTTGCCTGCACGACGCCGCACGAATGACAGGTCCTGAGTGGAAGGTTGGTCTGGTAATCGTGTGGCGTGGGAACCAGGCTCGTCAATCCAGTATCGACGGACTGTCGTGGCGACAACATGCCCGGTGCGTCTGACACCGCTGCGGTCATCATGTACGGGAACGGCATGAAGGGCTCGTACGTCGACAAGCGGTACGGATGACGCTGTATCGGTGCGATAGACGCTTGTAGCTGTAAAGGAGACGCCGTCGATTGTGTTGTTTCCCGCGCAGGTAAAGCAACAAACGTCTCGGTGAAAGGCGGTACGGCCGAGCTCAATTTTGCGGGCGAAGCCAGGTCTCTCTTGATGAGATCATGATCCGGATCGATCGGCTCTAGATCTAGCCCACCGACTCCATTGTTATCCAATTCTTCACGGTCTTTGCCTTCCTTTTCCTTCTCCTTTTCCGCCGCAGCTGCTTTCGCATTCAGTTCGTCCCTTCTAGTGCGTATAAATTCCATATCCCTGGCCGCCTCGGCAGGTGTTTGAGCGTTCATCACCGACGTAGGTTTCGCCACCAAGCGGGAAGCGTTTAGAGCTTGCGTCCCGTTCTCCCCCTCCTTTTCCGTCGAAACATTTTCGCCAGACCTTGTCCTCACCGAGCCGGCAGGTCTCACGAGCGATAGAGGTTCGAGCCCAGATTCCAAGTCCTGCTCGGTGATTACCAGATCGTCCAGACCGCAATCTGAAGCGACGGCGGAAAGTTTCAAGACGATCTGGCGTGAAAGTTCAGACAGCCGCAGCGAGTCCGTCATCGAGTCGCCTTGTACTAGAAGTGAATTCAGGGTCAGGTCCAAAACATAAAGCAGAGTGAACGTTTGCATCTCACCTGTGCCTTCCGCCAGATGACACAATTCGTCGCAATACGCCGAGATCTGCGGCAAAATCACACGAGCAAGCATCAGTTTGAATTCCTGATTCGAACCCACCGATATGGCTCACCATCTCCTTGGCATCCACCACGCTGGCCTCTTTACTTGTCCCGGCCTTGACAGGTCCTCCGTTCCCATTTCCATTCCCCGTCCCGATCCCTGACCTCGTTTTGGCCCTCTTTCTCGGTCTATCTCTGTCCCTTTCCCTATCGCGATCTGACGTCCCCGAGCCAGCACCTGTATTGCGGGACAAGCCCTTGCTCGAAGTTGCGGGCAACGATGGGACTGCCTCGCCCAAGGCCCGCATGGTGAGAAGCGGGGAGGCGTTTGGGACTCCGGTCGAGTGGACGGCCGTGTTTAGCGGTGCAGGAGGATACCGGTTCGGCATTAATGTTGATGGCGTTGACGAAGAGGTGGCTAAGGGCAAACGTATGTTTGCTGCATGATGCGGAGACTGGACCGATTGCGAGGCTCGTGGCGGAGGTACGGATTGCTCGAACCGTTGAGCCGGAGGTAGATAGGGGCCTTGGTATCCCGGTGGATGACCTGTTGCGTTCGGATCGAGGGGATCGCTTCGAGGTCCGCTCGAGTGGTAGGGATACTGGGGAGGTCCTATTGGTGCAGAGACGGAAGTTCGATCGTCGAAAGGGAGGGGAGGCATGGGCTGGCCGGAAGACCAAGAGTATTGATGGTTTCGAGTTTCTGTTGACATCGGAATTTGATGCGAACCCGATGTAGATCCTGATGAATGTGGGAACCCGGCAACGCCATCCCCGTCCTTACTCTGCCACGAATTCTGCCATATTCCCCCTGTTCCGCTGTTAACGAATTGGTTCATCCTCGTTTCTGAGCGATGATCCGACGATCGGCCTGGTAATACAGTTGGCGAGTGTGATCGATGCTGAAACGCTTCGATCGGGGGCAGGCTGAAGAGATGTCCACGCTCCGGTGTTGTTTGAGGATCTGGCCGACGATTTGCACTAGGACCTTGATGAACACCTCCTCGGTACTGGTTGAAGTGATCGTCGTCGAGATCCTCTCGGCGGTGATGATGTTGATAACGATGATCACGGGGTGGTGAACCTGTTACGATACGGGGTAGCCGTTCCGATGTCTCGGTATGACGGGATGTCTGGCTCGAAGCCGAGTCGGCGGCTCCCCTGTCGGCCATCGATTCAAGAATACCTCTGTTGCTATATATGTAGTCACAGAAGGAATAGCTAGGAGCTCGTCCCGGGGAAATGACCCAATCCAACCGTCATCCGTGCGTGGCCGTCGTCCTCCCGGTTTGTGGAATAGGAACAAGAGCTTGTCGAGCTTGCTAGCCTTGCACGAGGCCTCGGTGAGGAGAGATGACCGAAGTGTGTGTCGATCGATTAGAGTGGTGGTGGGTGGTGGCCGTGGTGAAAGGGGGGGGGGGGAGAGGGAGAGGTTGGAAATCGTCTCCCCCTATCGCTCGCCCCTCGCCCTCGGTCATGAGGGGAAGACCGAGATGGTGCTTCGTTCGCTCGCTCGGAGCCGAAACCATCGTGGTCACGTCGCGCGCGCGCTGGACACAACCCATTCCCCCGGACCGCTCCTCTCCGAATCGCTCGCGCCCATCTCTAGCTCTCGATTGGAGAATGTCTCGTCTCCTCTTGCTCCAGCTTCCTGTCCCCTTGCTCCCCTTTCGATCGAGACCGACATGCACAGGAGATCAGATGACTTCTCTCGCCTCTGATCTCGATGATCTGTAACGAAGTCGGGTCCAGATGGAACCAACACGGAAAACCAGCGTCTCTTTTGTCCTGGTACCGCATGCTCGCTCTGTGAGGACGAGGACGAAGACGCTGCTGAGATAGGGTATACCCGGACGAGATCTGCCGGACGGAGAACACGCGCAGGCATTCTCTTGGTTTGGATACAAACGAGATAGGGGGCCAGCGTTTACCAAGACCGAGCTGCGCAGTAGCAAATTCCAAAGCAAAGCCCGACCGGAGAGGCGCAAAGCCTCTTTCCCAAAACCGATTCGCCGGTCCCGGGGTTTGGAAACGTCGAGACCGAATGGAACTCGGGAGAGAGGGGCGGATCCTCAGTTTCACCTACTGGGCAGACGGGCGCCAGGCTAGAGCAGATGGTGGGGCGCAGAAGGTTTCGTGTGAGTGGAGTCTGCTGACTATCTTACACTGACATGTCGGTGCTGTCCTGCAGCCCTGTGACGACGTTGTATGTATCGTGTTTGAACGCCGAAAGAACCGACTTTGGCAGAAAGCAAGATGACCAAAGGTCGGTGAGAAGTGCAGTCTTGATGCGCTCTGCAGACCCCTTGCCAGGATGACAGCGTAGTTGTTCGCTGCTGCCTGGTATAGAGACGCAAACAGCCATTTCCGGTATTCAAATGGGGATCATGACGCCGATGTCTGCGAACACGTTTCGATAGTCGTCATATTGCATCAATCGCCGCGTTTCGTCTGGAATCCCATCTCTCTGAATGGAGTGTTTCGGCCTTTGCTCTCATCGTACAGCCTGCCATTTGCACATCAAGTCGCCGTCTGCACCGCACTCTGTCGATTCTTGGTTCGAAATGTGTAAACAGCTAGGCGCCCCAAAGATGGAGCTGAAATATGAGTGCTGCGCAGCCATGGTTGCCAAATTCAGCGACCAACTCTTGTCTTGTATCACTCACGACCGCGCAGTACCGTCGAAGTACCTGTTCGAAGTACCTTTATCGTATAGGTATCACCCAAGTTAGCCTTGCGTTCAGATGCAGGTCGTTCCACTGAAGAGACAGCGCCGTGATACACGAAAGGTGCTCTGAGCCGGAGTCATCAGTCGCTAAGAGCTCAATCGCCCAAAGGCGAGTGACTTCGTCACCGGAAGCTGCCGCTCAGTACGACCCTCTCGTCGCCATAGCCTGATGATCACGAGGCAATTGAAAGTGAATATACCTTCTCATAGAGTCCGACGCAGACTGAAATGATGATGATGCCTGCCGTTGACCGTGTATTAGGTAGGTTGCGGCGTCAGGCATCGTTAAATGATGGCCCGCGCGTTCGAACCTCCAGCCGAATCCCCGTCTCCTACCCATTCACGGAAACGACAGCAGATACTTCCAGAGCCGACTGAGAGATCAGGCGGCCTGTCTGTGGGTTCCGACTCATCCGATCAGCCCTTGAGTATCCACCGGTCCAGCCGATGTCGAGCGATCTTGACGCAGTAACAGCATAGCTTGAGCCTATAGCAAACCCCCAGACGCTTCTACGCGGGTCGTATTTGGGTGTACATATGCAGACATGTCCCTTTCTTAAACACATTCGTGACAATGGGAGACCATGCTCGATTGATTCGCGATCAAGTCCCAAGCCCTCTGGCAAGGGAGAATGAAGGTTATCGTCTCACTTTTTACGTCCACGGGAAAGATCAGAAACTACTAGGTTCCCGTGTCGAGCTGTTGTTTTAGAGTATTCTGGAGATGTTCAAGCTCGAGCACTGTTACGGTGTGACATTTTCAGCTCGAGCCGAGTAGCTGATCGCCATCGAGCTGTTCGATGAGCCGAGATGAAACGAGCGCGGGGGCTAGAAGATGCTGGAAGCAACAAACTTCGAAGCCGGATTAATTGGCGCGGAGTGAGCGAGAAAAAAGTACCACTACTCTGCCGTTACCCGGCCGTTCCGCGGACGTCAGCGCGTCGCCTCTCGTCAGCTCTCCTCCCTAGCTTTGAATATGAGCATCAGGATTGGATTCCATCGATCCTGTGGCGATCTGATCGCTGTGCCAGAACCCAGCATCTACACGATCTACACATCTACCATACTACTCAAGTAAACTCGACAACACACTCAATAATGCCCCGACAATCCCGATCTTCCCGACCTACCGCTCGAGCTGCCCCGGCTCCTGCTCCTTCGCACCAGCAGACTCGACAGGCCTCGACCTCTGCCTACCCTGCCCAGGCCGCCCCTGCTGGTCATGCCGTACCTCCCCAGGCCATGGGTCAACAGAGGCAGCCCGGTATGCTCGCTGGGATTGCCAGTACAGCTGCTGGTGTCGCTAGTGGAAGCGTGATCGGACACGGAATCTCCAACATGTGAGTATCGCCTCTGAGAGGTTGTCGACGATCGCCACGGTCTGGTCTTGCCTCGCCCGATCGGTAAACTGACTCATGTGGGTATTGTTCGTTCCAGGCTTTTCGGAGGTTCCAACCACGCTGCCCCACCACCTCCTGCTGAGCTTCCCGCTCAGAGCCAGGCCCCTGCCAACTTCCAGAACCAGTCTCAAGGTGCTACCTGCAGCATCGAGGCCAGGGACTTTACGAAATGCGTGAGTAGTATAGCCTTTCTTCTTCGTTCACGGCTTCCTTTCTGTGAGACGAGACGCTGATTCTCGCTTGTACATCCTCTCGTTCCTCCTCAGTTGGATGCCACGAATGACTACCAATCGTGTTCATACTACCTCGAGGCCCTCAAGGCCTGTCAGCAAGCCGCCGCTCGATACTAGGCTCTCCCTCTTGTTAAACAATAGAAGGCCTAGGATAGGGTATCGTCGAGGATGTCCATAGCATGTCATTGTCAATAGTATTATAAGCACTCACTTTCACCGCTCAAATGACCCGTCCGTCCTTGGTTCCGCAGCAACCGTCCCCGTAATCGTGAAGAGGCTGAAACTTGCAGGCGTGTGAATGCCTTGCGATCTTGTAACGGATCTAGTCCTGAAAGTCTGAAAGGATGTCCCAATCAGCTCCCTTGTTTCAGGTCGGCAGATCGTGTATCAAGATTCTCGACATAGCCCACTTATACTCTGGTTCGGTTCGGACTCCTTGAAGGACTACAAGCTACAAGCGACATCGAGTTTCCAGCTAGAGCTTTTGATCATAGCATCCCCAAGACATCTTGACCCTCTATACTTCAATTCACCCCCGGTGCAGCTGGCTCGTCACCGCGATCAAATACGCCGGACATCATGTTCGCGACAACACTCTTTTCGAACCGAGCCATTGCCTTGTCGGCATTCACCTTGCTGCATGCGACTAACCAGGTCCAGGCAGCGATCACGCTGTCCATGTCGGAAACCAGGGTCTCTCGTGACCAATCTGTCGTCCAGGGTCAAACGGATGGAATCGTCGCCATGGCGGGAGCTCCTGTGGATACCAAAGGCGCGGACGCCTTTTTCGCGCTCGACAATGATGGCACCGTCCTCACCGTAGACGTGGGCATCGGCTTGGGAACTGGGGGGAGTACTTATAAGATGATGATAGACTCTGGAGTAGGTGGAAGGATCGAGGTCTTATTGGTCATCATCGTATTTGGCATGGGGTTTAACTTGGTTTCCACCTCTAGAGCCCGAACTTCTGGATTGCCAGCCCTAGTTGTCAAGGTTGCAAGATTGACGCTGCGATTCCACGCTACACGGTTAATACTACCACCACTTACGGAGAGACCCCTTACAACCGAGCCCACCTCGAGTATGGTAAGTAAACCGGTGCATCCCAACTAGCCCTTGGCTCACGTCAATAATTGCTGGGTAGCTATCGGAGATGTCTCGGGAAGTTATAAAACGGAGACGTTCAGTTTGGGCGATCATCGCGTGTCCAACGTCACCTTCGTAAGCGTGGACGAAGCACGTATCTGGCCTTTCCCATCCCCAGCGCAGGATGTCGTTGGGATTCTTCCCTTGGGTCACGGGGTGAGCGGTTCAGACGAAGAAGGCATCGCCATTCAAAGCTGATCAGGAAACTTTGTCTGACTATGGCACGCTACAACTGCAGAACCTGACAGTCAAAGATGCCAGCGGCATAGCGCTAGAGGTGCCATCGCCCTTACAGGCCCTGTACCGAAATGGCAGCATCGACAGTCCCGTTTGTGGCATATTTCTCAGCCAAGATAAGCCTCAACTGACTATTGGGGGAGTCGACGAGTGAGTACGGACACCGCAAACACATCGCGCGGAGTTGCTGACGGGCCAAGACGTAGATCGTTAACTTGGAACGAGGCTGGAAAGGTTATTCTCCCTAGCGTGACAGACGTCTATCATTACGAGGTCCCGCTTGCCAATGCGCTCGTGATGGGGAACGCGACGGTAAATTTCCCGAATGATACGGCGATTTTTGACACCGGGAGTAGTCACATCTTTGGTCCATGGGATGCTGTCGAATCGATCTACAAGAGCTTGCAAGGTATCTTCTTCCACGACCTCGACAGCGATGACAAGTCGTCCTACTACGCCTTGCCGTGTCAAGCGCCGGAGAATTTCAGTTTTAGTTTCGGATTCGGAGGCAAACAATTTCCCGTGCCATACGAAGCTTTGGTAGAGTGAGTCCTCAAATGTGCACCACACGAAACGAATCTCGACTGAAATCAAGAATATCGCACGCCAGCTCGGGACGACCTGTTCAGCGCTATGTGAATGGACAGCTCGCCGCGACGCAACCATTTGTAGGCTGGTGTCATGGAAATCTGCAAAACACCAGCAGTGAGTGGATCCCGTCAGAGATGTGTTGATAGGATCGAGCTGCAACGGGCTAACATCTTTCCCCCTTTTAGTGTTTGGATGGACTTCCGAGTACGACAACAAGGATCGACATTGGTTGATGGGCCTACCCTTTCTCAGAACCGTGAGCGCATTTTCCGGATCCTCGCAACCAATCTCGGGTCCGTTGACGGATGAACCGAAAGCGCGCTAACCTTTCGTCGCCCCGCGCCTGTTTCGTCAGGTGTATTCCAGTTGGAACTTTGATAGCGGTGAAGTGATATTGTGGCCGCTCGATGGGGCCACCTCTTCCGGTAGTAAGATGGTCGAGTCAAATGCGACCGCGACTGCGACAGCCACGATCCAAGGCCCGCCGTTACCCGAGTCAACGAATGGCACTGCTTCTTTCGTACAAACGCAAACTATGGCCCAGGCCAACGCCTCGACCACTACTCAAGATTATGGGCTTGCTACTGGACAGGTGTCCTCGGCGACATCCGCTCAAGGTGCTGAATATGGAGCTAATACCACTGCTTACCCTGGCAACTACGTTGAACCCTCCAATTATGTGGCCTCAAGCGCATGGATCGGGACGGCGAGCGCACAGGGCACCCAGACGACTATCAGCTCCTCGACGGACCGAACTGATCCCTCAGTACTCGAACAAGGAATGCCTTCAATCGCAACGACGAACGCCGGTGATCAGACAGTGGAGGCTTCGAACACAGCTATAGTCGCAACCGTAACCACGGCCACCACAACCAATTCTATTTACAACGCGACTGCCGATCGCAACGATGCGCCAGTGGTTGCGCCGACTTCCACTGAGACGAGCGGCAGTATCAATACCGTGAATACTATGTATAACACGATCCAAGCGCCAAGCCGCAAGCGAAGATGGCTGCGATAACGTGATGATCCATCCTGGTCCGGAGACGTCTATCTACCAAAAATATCACCATTGTACCCATTTTCCATCCCTTCCACCAATCCATTCCGTATCTCGTCGAGTGCTCGTGTAAACAACAACAATAATGCGATCATGCCATATCCCTGATCCAGCGATACTCAATTGCGTTTGATAGAGCGCGAACGCAGTAGGGAAGTGGTCCTTCTCAGCGGTTGAAGCGGTCAGCTGGACAGTTCGTGGGGACGATACTGATAGTCAGTAAATTAGCCCTCTCTACAACCCTGTTTGAGTATGATGTATCTATGCGCTCTATGCCCTTCCCCTCCTCTCGTAATCACATGCATCGATCCGAAACGACCTCCCTCGGATCTCGGATGACTTCTTCTCGCTTCCGGACGGGATCAGAAAGATCCGGCGCCTGCGCGTCAGTCGATCACCTCTTCCGGTCGGTCACGAGCGATATGATGAGCTGGCTCACGACAGAACAGACAGATGGAAAAGGTCGAGTCGGGATCGATCTGTGGCGACATGGCATACCAAGGACATGATGGTTGGAGGTACTCGAGATTTGTTTCGTGAGGCTTCAAGTACGCAGGCGAGTTCGAGTCTCGGGTCGGGTCAGATCACAAAAGGTTTGACGGAAAGCCAGCGGCCAGCGGCCGGTCCCTGACATCATGAGCCAAAGGCGATCTCCGCGAGTGAAAAGAAACGCAGCCGTCACTCGCTATTGAGCTTGGTAAAGGTCTGCAGATTGTACGGCCTGCCGTATCTCCGCTAGATCGCCCTCTGTGGTGATACCCATGTAAGATCACTGTCTTTATGCCTGTCAGTAAGGAAAGAATGCTCGAAAGGCTGGGGCCAAGACGAGGAGAAGGTGGGGGAAACGGTCGAGCGCGAGGAGGAGAGCGAGCGAGAGAGGGGAGAAGCTAGAGCGTGGACGCGCGCACGCAAGAGGCTCCAAGGCTGGCCCCGATAACGAGAGCGACCCATCCCTGCGTTCGCCGAACCCCTCACTTCAAATGCATCTGGGCTCTGTCGATAGGTAGTTGGCATCTTTGCTATTCAGACCACCTGTCAGCCTGAACACCCGTCAGACGTACACTGCTCAAGGCCACAACACCACTCATAGAGAGAGAGATCGGCCCCGGTTCGGAATACACGACGGATATCCCCTACGCACGAGCGACGTCGTGGGAGAGGCCTTGTTCCTCGAACGCAAACACGTTCAGGTATATCGACGATCCAGACCGACGAGGATCGTCCAAACCGTGGACCCAAGACATATATAATCCTAGTCACCGTCTTTGATCTACAAAGGATCGACATGGCACGACGTACTTGATCAGACAATACGAACTCCTTGACGACTACCGACCACTCGTCGGGACCTTTTGATCGACCGAGCGAGTCTCGAAAGAAAAGGTCGCTTTCCTCATCATCCCGTCAAGAGACACCTTTGACGTCACCGTCAGTCTCTCAACAACCTACACCACCGAGGCTCTGTGTCGAGAGGGGGATTCTTCCATCAAGATCCGGGCTAGAGCGATAGGCGTCCGAGAGAGTGCCTGACCGGTCAATGACCCAACCAGTTCAGGCTGGGATCTACGCAAGACCACCCTCGACAGTTCAGCAGGTCCCCCCTTCACCATCGACCTTGCGATCACAGCAACATAACCAGAATCAATATTACGACCCTTCTACTGTCTACGCTGCCACGAGACACACCGCAGCGACGCCTGTCCCTCACCAGGCTCCGACACCCATCACTGGCGTCTCAGCTGAGAACGTCCCGCCCTCCACTCCTCATCGTCAACCGACACCTCGACAGACTCCTTCACAGCACATGAATGCCCTACATCCGCAACCCGTACCGGGTCAAGCATCAATGATGCAGACCAGTGCACCTCCAGGATATACGCCGACCCAACAACAACGGTTCGCGATGATGCAGCAGCAGCAACAGCAGCAGCAGCAGCAGCAGCAGCAGCAGCTTCAACAGCAACATCCGGGCATGCAACAACAGATGCAGCATCACGCTCAGTTGCAGCAGCAGCAACAGCAACAGCAACAGCAACAGATGGCCGCACACCATCAGCAACAACAGCATCAAGCTCAGCTGGCTCACCATCAGCAGCAGCAACAGCAGACGCAAGCCCCAGGTCAAGGGCAGGTTCAACCGGCTCAAGCACAAGTTCGACCGAGTCAGACCCCAAAGCTCGGTCAACCTACCGGGGGAAACCATACGATGGTCAACGGGAACATCAATGCGGTAGCCGGGCCATCGAATCAGGCGTATCAGACGCCTCAACCCAGCGCTCAAGGGCAGTTGCCGAACGGGTATGCGCAGGGAAGCGGAGAGTACGAGCAGCAGCGTCAAGCTCAGCAGCAGCAAGTGGGTCAGCAGGGTCATACTCAAAATCAAGCTCAAGCTCAGGCGCAAGCTCAAGCTCAAGCACAGGCTCAAGCCCAGGCTCATGCGCAGGCTCAAGCCCAGGCTCAGCACGCTCAGGCGATGCAGCAGATGGGTATGGGGATGGCGATGAACATGAACATGACGCCCCAGCAACGGTCGACCATGCTTCGTCAGGCGCAACAACAGCAGCAACAAGCGGGGCAACAACAACAACAAGCTCTCGCCTTGGCTCAGGCGGCCCAACAGCAACAGACGCCGCTACAGGCTCAACATACTGGCCAGCAGCAGCAAACGCCTATGCAGCAAAACGGGCCGACGCATGGAATGCCACATCAGACGCCGGGACTTGCTGGATATGGGGTAGCGGGGTCGGCACATGGTAGCGTGGATGACGATAGGTGGAATGGGGATCATATGTATGTGGACGAGCGTTCTGGAAACACGCGATGACTACTGATTCTCGATCTTTATCAATCTCAAACCCAGGTTACACCTGTACATCCATGACTACCTGTCAAAGCGAAACTTTACCGGAGCAGCCCAAGCGCTGAACGAGGAGGCTAGCTTGGGCAACCAGACCGTCGTACCGGTAGATGCACCTCAGGGGCTCTTATACGAGTGGTGGAGCGTGTTCTGGGATGTGTTTTCGGCGGGAAATCCTGGCAAGGCCGGACAGCCCACGGCTGATGCGCAGGCTTACATCGAGGTATGTTTCATTATCGTTGCGGTACGTGCTTCACAGACTGAAGATGGTTGTCTGACGCTGTTCCAGGCACAGGTGCGGAACAAGGTACTGCAACAGCAGCAGCAGCAACATGCTTTGGGCATGGGTCGGCCAGGTCAACCCATGACTGCCCAGATGGCGCATGCTATTCGTCAAGCGTCAGCCCAGTCCCAAGGCGGCTTCGTGCATCCGAACGGTGTGACGGGTTACCCGCAGGGAATGACGCCTCAACAGCAACAATACCTCCAGCATCAGCAGCTCTTGGCCCAGCAGCAACAGCAACAACAGCAGCAACAGAACGCGAGCATCGCAAGACCTGCCTCCGCTGCACCTCAACTTCAGCAGCCAGGACAAGGTCCTACGGCCTTGCAGCAACGGTACATATCGCAGCAACAAAGCCAGAGTCCGGCTTCGCCTGCGATGACGGCTCGATCTGGCGTCATGGCATCGCAACTGCCGTCCAGACAGCAGTCGTTACCCGTTGGAGCAGAAGGTGCCCAGCAGAACGGACAGTATTACCCACCCGGTACGGTGCAACATATGCAACAGCAACAAGCCAACGCTCAACAGCAGCAGCAACAGCAAAGCACCCAGACGGCTCCCTCGCCTCATCTCGGTGCTCAGCAGATGCAGCAGCAAAAGATGTTGGCCGCCCGAAACCCGAATGGGAGTGCCAATCGAGCGACTACACCGCTACAACAGCAGCAGATGCAGCCTGGACAGGCAGGGTACCCTCAGGCTGGTCCCGGTCCGATGCAGGGCCAAGTACCGGCGACGCCACAGACCATGCAGCTACAAGCCGAACAGAGAGCTCGCCTCGCTGCTCAACAGCAGCAGGCACAGCAACAAATACCGAATGCTCAGCAGCAGCAGTTTATGCAGCAGCAGCAACAGCAGCAACAGCGGCATTTGCAGGCTCAACAACAGCAACAACAACAGCAGCAAGCGGCGCAACAGGCTCAAAATCAGCAGGCAATGCAGATGCAGATGGACGCGCGGTTCCAGATGTTCGGGTACGGCAGCATCAACATCCCTCTCATGGTCCAAGCTCTTAGCGCGTGTAATATGGAATCGCGCAGTACCGAGAACATGAGTCCCGTCGAAAGGGTTAGTGCCAGAGTTATGCGCGGAAAGCGAGATGTTCTGGCTGACTTTGACTTTGTCCGCAGGATCGACTCAAGCATACCTATCACACCTTTCTCGTGCGTCATGCCCAGGCTCAGAGTGCCATGGCCCAGAATCCGGGTCAGCAACAGGGCGGCATGAATGCTCGGCAGGTCCCGCAGGGCTTCGCACAACCCGGCCAAGAGGGGGCGACGGCTATGAAGAGGTTAGCGACTGTATTCTCTTTGAAGGTTGTCGCTTGGTATCGATCCCTTCATCTTTTGCTTCAAAGGCCGAATGGGATGCAGATGACTCCTCAAATGACGGGACAGAACCAGGCGCAACTACAGCAGGTAAGCAACTTGACGGTCCGCGCGTTAACCCAAGTCGATTTTTGACACCTTTTGACTATGATAGCGTCAGACAGAAGATCGCGGCATGTCTCCTCCTGATCGCAAACGGATGCGTCGTAACTCTGGTAGTGCCGCGGCCAGTCCGTTTGGCGCGCAACCGGAGACTCCTCATCAGCAGACACCGCATCAAGGCAATCTTCCGTTCAACCAAGCCATGGCTGTGCAGACGCAAAATCAGAACATGGCACAAGCATCGCTCCAAGCACAGCAACACGCCCAACAGATGCAGCAGCAGCAAATGATGCAAGCTCATATGGCCCACAACCAGCAGTCGCAGCCTCCAACCCCTCAATCCGTGAACGGACAGCAAGACGAACAGGTGAGCATCCGAATCTTTCGTCTACCCAGGCGCATTGGGTTGACATATACGAAAAACTCATGAATCAGAGCATGCGTCAGTATCAGCACCGGGTGCGGGAGCAGCAGTTGGCCGCAATGAGAGCCATCAAGTCGAACGATCACTTTTCTCCGAGCAACCAGAGCAATGGATCGGTGCAACCGCCCACTCTCCCTGAAGCTCCACGAGAGGAAGTCGACCACGATAGTGCGGCCTTTGGTCAACAGATACAGGCTGCGACACCGTCATCAACGCAGTTGAACCTATCTCAGGCGATGCAACGAGGGCAAAATAAACCAGGTCAACCGGGATCGGGACAGGCACCGCAATCCATGCCTACCCCGGCTTCGCCTTCTATAACAGCTACACCACGACCGTTATCACGGCAGAGACCGCTCGGTAATTCGATGCAAGAGAGAAAGCAGGACGATACGAACGTGAGTGGCTGGTCCATGAATCTAGCAGAATAAAGCTGATGCAACAACGACACTCCAGCAGTCACCTGCGCAGGGCTCGGGCTCGGGCTCGGGGTCATCAGACGGCAAAACCCCTTCCCCTCAGAAAACGGGGAATCAAACTCATCAGAACAATCTGGCGCCAAGCAGTCACGGAGGTCAACACAGCAATGTGCCATCTCCAGGCGATCTGGCTGCAGCTGCGCAAGCTCAAAACCGGCCGCAAGATATGGGCCAGACGGCACAATCCCAGAATCACGGACTTTCGCAGCAGGCAACATCTCAGAACCAGCAAGCGATGGACATGTTCGGGGGCATCGACCTATCCGGGGTCGATCCCGCCTTTCTGGAGGGTTTGTCGCACGGCGGATTGGACATGGGGTTCTCGGATGCCGACTTCAGCTTCAACGAGTTCCTCCTTGACCCGGCAATGGGAGACGGAGACGGGGATCCTGGTGGGGACTAGTCCTTGAGCCTTTCCTACCTCTCGTTCATCGCATGCTATGAACCCAGCCGAGCACTTGGCCTCGCTGGATTCTGGTCACCTTTCCGACAACAAAAAAAGGATCGCTTCGACAAGGTTGTATGCACTTGCAAGAGAACAACAGGTGCCTCTCTATCACCGCGGTACAAGACCGTCGTCTCAGGCTTTCCGACAATACAACCCTTCGATACCTCACGACACATCGGTTCTCTCCATTCTATTCTGGCTCGACAGTTTCGGCGTCTCTTCTTCTCCTGTCATCCCGCTACGACATGCGGTCATTGACATCTTGCTTGCTTGCGGTGTATTGCCTGCCTGCCTTCGAGGCAGTTGCCTTAGGACCCATAATGATGTTTCCCCTCACTCCCTTCTTCTCGGATACTTTTCGCTCTCGCAGATCTTTGTTCCCTTGTATCCCACACTTGTACTGGCGTGCACATCACACGATAAACGATTCGGACGAACCAAAGGAGACGGTCCGGCCAGTCTCGATGTCGGCTAGGTGATCCAATCGTGGCCACTTGATTCGTGTTAGCGATTTACCAACTCGATGTCAGGCTCGGTCTGCCTCCACTTTCTGAAGTCTCATGGCCATCGTCGATCGTCGCATTTCGCCAACATGCTCATTGAAAGTTGCGGTTAGAATTTGATCGCAGTGGGTTTGTGTTTACTAGAATCAATACGCTCTCGATCTAGTCGTCACGGTTTTGCTGCGGATATCAGTACGATGCGATCGTATCGTGCTTGCCTGAAACCGGGGCTCTGCTCAACCGCCACCAGCCGCACAGGCTGTAGGCACATTCGTACAACGGCTGTTGCTGCCGATGACAAAGCAATACCTGGCTTTGTGGACGACAAGGCATCGCATTCGAGAGCTGGGCTTGACCCGACCACTATTGGCCTTTTGGACGACATGAACCTTGGCATGGGTTCGGGTCATAGGTCCGTGCGTCGCAAGCGACCACTGATATACGGACAAGATTTACCCTCGAACGATACTCCTAAGGGATCCTCAACCAGCAAGACTCAGAAAGCCAAGGAGGACGATGAAGCAGAACTGGACTTTTTGGCAGAGGTACTCATGAATGAACCCGATGAGCTCGAGGCCTTGGACGAGGTCGCCAGGTTGGCTGGAGACGACATCTTCGCCGCCCGACATGACAATGAAGATGAATCAAACCAGTACATTGAACGGGAAGACAGGTTATCACCGGCTGCTGCTTTTGGATCAAAGCGTGTGGGGATGGTAGTGATACCGGAAGAGCTTAATGATGCTATCCAAGCTCGCGTCGACGGTGAGTTCCTTTCGTCTCGCCTGTTTTGACACTGTCGCTGATCGTGATCACTTCGTAGAGTCTGATAATCGCAAGCTGTTAAGGCAAGCATTCTTGTCCAAAATGTCCACGGCCAAATCGCCTCGAGCCGCTCCGGTCCCGCGTGGTTCTTCCAAGAGAGCCCATCTCTCCTCATCTCTTCAGGAGCACAATGCATCGCCTGGATCGACATCGTCCGGCTACGTCAACAGGCGGAGCGAAGCTGTGACTCCGCTGAGTGCATTGCTTAGTGCGATCGTGGATCTCCCCGGAGAATATGCCGCTGTCCGTAACGTTCTTGGGGAATTGGAGATGAGATTGGGACGGAGGGAGTGGGAAGCAATGTGCGGTAGATCGACTACAATTGGCCGCACTGACAGAAATGGTCGATGGGCAATCATCGACGGCGGAATCGGATCCGGACTGTGGTGAGTAAGCACGTGTCGTGGTACATACAGGCGACACTGACGTTTCTTATCGATCGATGAAGGGCAGTGCAAGATGCGCTTGGACTGTTACAATCTTCCAAAGCGGGTGATAATGAGCGAGCTGCGTCTGGACTGCATCTCGATGTTGTCCACGGCTCGCGACATATCCTGGAACTTGCTCAGAGCTTGACCACCCGTAAGTCTGAACATTGACTAATATTGGGCCTATCAACATGATAACAAGCCTGGTTTCCGCAGAGGTCGATTTCAAGGGTGACATCAACTTCACGAGGCTCTATAAACCCACCGAGCGGGTGCGTCAGCTGGTCAAAATTTGGATTTCCCTCCTATTGTCTCATGTTTCCCTTTCTTTTCTAGCCTGGGGTCATTCTGGCGCCTTATTATCTGAGCAAATTGGCCAATCAAGTCGCGCGACGGCGCAAACTGAAAGAGCTCTGGGAGACGGGAGCTGAAACCATAGTGAGTGCCTGCATTCTCGAAAGCGGAATCGTATATCTGATCAGACCGGATCTTCGGAGTAGATCTTGATCGACTCGGGTTCACACGAAGGCTTCCGGATCATCGCGGATGCGCGTCAATACCTGCTGGATTTGGGACGCCAGACCCCCGTTGGTGCAGAGGATTTGGAACCGGACGAGATCGATCGAATTGTGCTGCGGGAAAAGAGAAAGGTGAAAAAAGCTCGAAGAAGAGCGCGAGACTTTGACGCAGTTGGGGGCGTATTGGAGATGGTCGATGGCAAGGAGGTCCTGCGGATAGGAGATCAGCTTTTCTACCCGGAAGCGGAGGATGGGGATGATACGATGAATGTAGCGCTCGAAGCAGAGTTACAAGAGGAACCCGACGTTCCAACACCTACGCCAAGACCAGAGCGGGTGCTGTCGGACCGTTTCATCGGCAGCCATGTCGTAGCACCGGTAAGCATGCTTTCTTCACTTCAGCACGTTTTGGCATTGTGCTGAAAGCCCATTCTACCTTCAGTGCCCCCACGACGGTGCATGTCCTTTGTTGTCGACACGAGATTCCTGTCACTTTTCTCAACGCGTGCAGACACCTCGTTTCGTTCGAAAGACGAAACACAGCAAGAGCGGCGAATCAGACTCTAACTACTCGTACGTGGTCATCCGACGCGGACGCAGGCCGATGGCGGAGACCTCAGGTACCGGTCTATACGGCGGTGTAGCCAAGGACGAAGCGCAAAGACAGGCTGCCAAGGAAGAGAGCATGCATCAAGGGATGATCGTCCCTATCAAGGGTGCTCAGGATGGGAGTTTCGAGGTCATGCGATATATTCCGCCAAAGGCCTCGACTGAACCGCCTGAACCCGTCGATCCCTGGGAAAGCTCGCGAATGCAAGACACATTGCGGAAAGAGGCGTACCAATGGCCGAGGCTAGTCTACCCGCCATTGAAACGCTCGGGGCATGTCGTCATGGACACCTGTCATCCTTCAGGTCAGTGTCTGTGCGCGATTGTCACGATTGAAGATCTAGGTTACTCATCGTCTCACGGCGTTCTGTAGGAGCCATCGTGCGACAGACGGTGGCCAAGTCGCATTCGAAACAGGCTTACTATGACGCTCGAAAGGTGAATTGGGGCGATCTCTTTCCACATCCATCCAAGGGTAAGGACACCATCAGAGATCGTGGAGTCAAACGGTTGAACAAGGTCGAACACGTGGAAGGGGTTCAGGTAGACGAGGATGACGATCTTGCTGATATCCCGATCAGAGAGGATTGGCCGGTCGCCAAGTTGGTCAATGTTGGCGGTGTTGGTGAAGAGAGAGCTGGGGACGGGCAGGACGATGGTGATATCATCGTGCGTACCTATGATCAGCAGTAGAATTAGGATTTAGCGATTCTGCAACATCTTGTATGATGTGCACAACGTATGGTGATCAGACGACTACATCAGCTATCAGCTACCGTACTGCAAGCTGCAAAGGCGTACAAGCGGCTGAAGCTACTACAAGCACTCAGACGCTCGAGATTCAGCTCTTACGTTACGTTACGTTACGTTACGGCCGCGACGAGACATTCGTTTGTTTACAAATGGAGGAGCCAATCTGGACACGACACGGATCCTTACGGTCACGACAGCGCGTATGCCCCTAAAAACCCCTAACCAGCCGTACTCAAAGACAGCCCATGATATCCTCCTCGCTAACCCCTAACCCCCTAACCCCTAACCCCCTAACTCCCTTAACCCCTAGCCCATAACCACCTAACCCCTAACCATCTGCCTTGACGTAGGGTCGTTTGCGAGGTCATTCGGGGTCTCGGCTGAGAACATCTCAGATTCAGGAAGCAAATTTGTCATATAGGAAGCAGATATCTCGCTTGGTTAGACTTCTCGCCCTTGCTTGTCGTGACCGTAAGGATCCATGTCGTGTCCAGATTGGCTCCTACAAATGGGATGGGTACACAAAGAGAAATCAAGGGGAAGGGGGCATGATCGCACGATGAGCTGATGACGGTTTCGGTTTGTCGGGGCACGATCAAGAAGTCTGATCAGGTCACATATACCTTCCTTTGTGTATCTCGTCGCATGTCTCGCTCGTGATCGTCTCACTAGCAAAATCCGGATAGAGCCAGCCTGGCATCAAGATGGATCACCATCACACCATCACTGAATGAGCATCGACCTAGGACAGCAAACGCAAGATCGACCTCGAATATCATATCACTCCGATCACCTCTCACAGATCGCTATCCACCCCGCCACTCTTCCCTCTTTCTCGCATGCAACCTTGAACATTCACTGCAAAGATGGGCTCAGATGCCAACAAAACTCCGATTCCGACATCGGAGTCGGCCGTCTTTGGCTACCAAGCCAAGCTATTGGCACGCTCAGGGTCTGGTCTGGCCGCATCAGAGTTCGGCGGTCAACCTCTTGCCAGACCTGGTCATTCGATGGCAGGAAAAAGGAACAGCATCGACGTCGGCTCGGTCAGAGGCAAATGGGCACAGAGGGAGGCGGAAGAGAGGGAACTCTTCAAAGAGCTAGGTGTTGGTGCCAAGAATGCTGTGCCGAGACCTGGAGCTGGACCCATGTCACCCGGGGCCTCGACATCTTTCAGCTCCATCAGTGGCCGGAATGGATCGCTTGTGAGCTCTCGACCCATGTCACCAGAGGAACCATCTCGGGCATCCTCATCAGCACAAGGCGACAGCCTGCAGAGATTACTGCATCGAAGAGCCAAGTCTTATGTGCCAGCGATAAAGCCGCTACCTACACAACCGGAACACTCCACGATCAGGCCAATACAGAGACGAGTCGACGAGGAACCATCAGTGGTTGTGAAAAGAGCCTCGGATGCTTCAGCTTCGACCTCTGCATACGGCTCGGATCGGGTGATATCCTCGTCCACAGTATCGACCAACCCTCTTTTGCCCGACATCACTGGTTCGAGCACGAGTAGCTCGATCATCGGTCCCAACGGCGAGCGACGATACAAGAGCTCTTATATGGCAAGGAAGGAAGCGAAGAAGCGGGACTCGATGATGTCGTTCGTCGGCGAGGGATTGCCGATACCGTCAGCATCTGTCCCGGTGCTATCCTTCAAGGCGGAACCGCCTGCCATAGCTGAAGAGCCGAAAGTGGACAAAGAGGAAGATCTGGCTACTGCTATCAGAGATCGATTGGCACTTGACGAGGCCATCGGAAAGCAGAAAGAGAGCACCGAGCTTGATCGGGAAGAGCATCGCAACGAAGCTTTGTCCAAGCTGATGGATACCCCGAAAAAGGCCACGACGGCACTGTCGAAACCATCGTCCCCCGATGAGGATCTCTCGCCCACTGTCAAAGCGTTCCGCGAACGAATCAAGAACGAAGGACCATTATATAAACCCGACATGTCCCCGTCGCGGTCTTTGAGAAAGAGAGTGTCCACCTCTCTACTGGGCGAGCCATACTGGCCGAACCCTAATCCCGTTGCCGGTTCACATCGAACTCCCGCATGGAAGCCTTCTGATAGCAACTCTTTGCTAGATTCTCCTTCTAGTAAACGTCAAAGTCCTCTGGCTTCGAGCTTCCAGCTGGATTCCGTCAATGAGGACGAGATCAGACCGCCTCTACGGGAAAATAGGCGGAACATCACGCCGGTAAATTCCAAGTCCGCTTTCAAGAGTTCGGTTGTACCGCCCTCCGTCCCTTCGAGCGTGTATGGCGAGGCGAGACGGCCGTCAACGCAAGCCCAGACTCCAGGGAAACGCTATGGCTCGATCGGAAAATCAGATGGGCGTAAGCTCGGGAAACATCTGCCTAGAATCGCTTCAGGTGATCAATTCACCGAAGACTGGGAGGAGGAGCGAGCCAAGTCTGCTTATATCAAGGACAGCTCTGTTTCGGCCCCGAGTCCCCTGAAGTTGACGGAGAAATTCGCACCCGATGTTCTCGCAGTTTCTCAAGTTTCGTCAATGCCTTTGGAAAGGCCTCCCTCGGTGTCGTCTGTTCGTCAAACACAGCGAGTCTTCGAGGGAACTCCTCCCGTGACTACTGCCGTGGATACGCCCGCACCGCCTGCAAGTCCGCGAAAATCGCAGTTTGTGACTGGGCGTCAAGAAGCACCGGTTACGCCAAAGCGAATCCTGCCCGACGGACGAGGCATGCAAGGGTTGGTCGGGAAGGGTTTCGCCACGCCCAAGGCGTCAGCCGGGTTGATAAACGCGGGGGCGACCCTCGAGCGCAGCGGTAGCGTAGCCGGAGTCAAGGGAAGGTTGCGTTTGTCCCGGCTACCTGCGTCGTCTACCTCCGCAACTATGGCTCCTGCGCCCCTGCCTTCGAAGCGGCTCAACATGAACTGGATGGACCGGCAGCGAAAAGAGCTCATCGCGTACGAGTATCTTTGTCACGTCGGTGAAGCCCAACAATGGATCGAGGGGTGTCTCGACGAAGAACTGGGATACGGTGTTGTGGAGATGGAAGAGAGCATGACTGATGGCGTAGCCCTGGCTAAACTGGCACGCAAATATGAAGGGGATGAAGTGGTGAGACATATTTGGGAGGTCAGTCATTGGATACTGGCAAACGTGCTCGCATCCGATAAAGGGCTCACTGACCCTGTATTGTGATGCAGGACAAGAAACATCGATTCCGGCAATCTGACAATATCGTTCATTTCCTCAATTTTGTTCGTAACATAGGCCTTCCAGAAGTAAGTCGGTTGCACATTCTTTATATTGACCGGTAAACTTACACGCCGAATTCCCAGACCTTCATTTTCGAAACGACCGATCTGTACAACAAGAAAAATATGCCAAAGGTGATCTATTGCATACACGTTCTCAGGTAAGCTTTTTCCACACCACATCCCGCTCGCTTCATGCAACTAACCTTTCTGAGGCCTGCGGTACCCTCCAGTCACTTACTTGCTCGTCTGGGGATGGCTGACAAGATTGGTAACTTGGTCGGACAATTCGATTTCTCAGGTAATTCTACCTGCATCTATGTCGTACTGCACCGGAATCCTGATGCATCGATCTCTCAGATGAACAACTAGCTCAAACACAACAAGGTTTGAAGGGCTTGGCAATGCCAAACTTCAACTCGGTCAGCACAGCGTTGGCAAAGGAGTGCAACATGGAACCAGAAGAAGAGCCTGAAACGGAAGAAGAAGGTCGGTCAGTTTCGTCGAATCTGACAACGATCCGTTGCTGATGATACTGTGGCTCCCCGATAGTGAGGGATCGATTACTGCTGGAGTGTGAGCCGGAGATCATACAATTGCAAGCTTTCTTGCGAGGATTCAATCAAAGACAATCCACTTCGAGGCTTGCAAACCACTTGCAGCTTGCCGAAGCATCGGTATTGAGGTTCCAATCCAGAGCTAGGGGAGCGCTTACGCGTCGCGCTCTTCTGGAGGAGATGGACGCTCGAAACGAGTCCACAGGGTGGGCTATCATGTTGCAGACACAATGTCGAGGCTATCAAGCAAGACGTCGCGTTCATGCCGAGCGGTCTAAATTTCGAAAGGACGAAGATCGATACGTGGGTCTTCAAGCTCATGCACGAGCCAATCTCGTCCGACGGAGGCTTGATCAGCAACAGATGAGAATGGACGCTGCGTACCCAGCCGTGTCCGCCCTGCAAGCTCTCATTCGCGGGCAGCGCTGTCGCAAGGATGCGAAACAGCTGAGAGCGGAACACGCTCGTCCAGAAGTTACGCAACCGATAGTTCGCTTTCAAGCGTTGCTCAGGGCTAACCTTGCTCGAAATCGCAAGACGGAGACCCAGAAAGACATATCTAATGGGTTCGTCAATATCGTTGGCCTGCAAGCTCAAATCCGAGGCGTACTCTACCGGAAAAAATTGCGGGTGCAGGTGCAGACGCTCGATGATACGGCAGATCACGTGGTGGCTCTCCAAGCCGTTGCCCGAGGCGCTCTTGCAAGACGACAAAGGCACTCGTTCACTACAAAGCTGGAACGTGTCGAATCCAATGTAGTCTCGCTGCAAAGTCTTGCACGAGCAAAGCTTGCCAATAGGGCTCATCAGGATATGCAGAAAGCCTTGAGCAAGGTGGAGGTTGCGAGTTCGATCGGTGGCCTGCAGTCTTTGCTCCGTTCCAAGCTGGCCAGCAAGAAGACCACAGAACAGAAGAAACAGCTCGAGTTTGTTCAGCCGGACGTCATTGGCTTTCAAGCACTAGCTCGAGGGGTCCTCGCACGACGAGATTTTCAGGAATGGCTCGAATATCTTAAGGACGAAGAGACGCAGGTCGGAATCACCTTTTGCCAACAGCTCCTCCGTGGATATCTGGCTCGACAGCGATACTGGGGTCGATTATCATGGTATCATGCGAACCAGCCCAAGATCATCACAGTTCAGGCGTTATGGAGAGGGAGAAAACACCGCGAACAGTATAGAAAGATCGTCTCTGGAAAAGCTGTCGACATCACCGCTATCCAAGCCTTCATGCACCTCTTGGATGACAGCGAAAGCGATTTCGCCGAAGAGATCCAAGTCGAGCGATTGCGCAAGCAAGTGATCGAGAACATCCAATTCAACCAGACGCTTGAATCGCAGGTGACCGAACTAGATACAAAGATTGCTCTTATCTTGCAAAATCGATTGTCGTTCGAAGACCTCGTTCGAGTCAAGGGTATTGCTGGGAACCTCCCCAACCAACAAGAGCAACAGTCTTTCTCCCTCGCCAATTCCGACCCATTCTCGCATGGCGCTACGTTGGAGCGATCAAGTCGAAGGAAATTGGAGCTGTACCAGCATCTCTTTTTCCTGTTGCAGACGCAACCGAAGTATCTGGCAAGACTTATTCGGTTACAAACGGCCAATCAAGTGGACGAACAAGGTCGAAGATTGCTGCAGGGCGTCGTTCTTGCGTTGTACAGCTACGGGCAAAGTCGTCGAGAGGAATATCTTCTACTGAAGCTGTTGCAGGTAAGTGAAGATGGCACTTTTGGTAACACGGAAAGCTTATCGTGGCTGGCTTTCAGCTTTCTATTCATGAGCAGATTCTAACCATGGAATCTGCTCAATCGTTAATTGACTCGAAACTGGTAGTCACCGACATCGCCCTGGCTTTCATTCGGCCCAAGCACGGTGCAGAGCTCAAGACTATCTTGGGAAAAACCATCGGAGAGATCCTGAAGATGCAAGATCTCGATTTATGCATTGATCCCGTCGAAGTCAGTACCGCTGGGCTGCCCTTTTCGATCTCATAATGACACGTAATGAGTCTCTTGCATCGAAAAGATCTACCACCGCATCCTGAACGACGAGGAAAGCGATTCCGGCGTGGTCAGCGCAAAACCTCGAGACGTCGATGCTCGATACGCAGTCACACAGGATCCCGTGTCAGGCCGCGCATTTTATCAACGTGAGCGTCGAGTTCTCATGTTCTCATTGCTCGAGACCACGCTTCTGAATGGCTTTGGCACGTTATGCATAGAACTTGCGGCTCTGCAGCTGCAGACTGATTCAGTTCTGACTGCGCTTTACGCCGGGACCAAACACATTCCATACACCATACGCTGCATGGCTCGCGAGATGCTCCTCGCGCTGCAGGTCAAGACTCAGTATCAGGTTGAGGATATAGATCTGATCCCTGTCATCGCCCGAGGATTGATCTTGCCCTATATCTTGCCCGGTATCGTGTAAGTTTCCGCGCGCCAGCACTCAGTCGAATTAGGCTAACACGGGGACATGCAGCACACCGGAATCGCAAGGAGTCGTAGCATCACTTGTCGGAGCACTCCCGCGACAGAATATCAACGAAATTGCGAATCTCATTACGATGATCGCGACCGGTTGCTACCGCGTCGTAACTTATGACCTCGAGTTGTTTGGGACCCTTGACAACTACGTCGCCAATGCCTCTGCTAGCTTCTGTGATTGGATTCTCGAAGGTGAGCTCACAAACGTATATGCTCGACTTCCGCAGTACTGATGACGCATTTGCACACAGTCGCTAGCGTTGAGGATGTGGAAAGCCATCTTCAGACTCAGGAGCTTGTCGAGGTATCTGTGGCTCCCAAACCTATCACTATGACTCGGGCAGAAATCTATGCCATGCACAACACTCTGCGCAAGGAGCTCGACCTGATTGTGAGTCTCTCCGTCCTATATATCCTGACGATACTGAAGCGAAGACGTATACGGACAGGCCATTTCCAAATCTGACCCCCTTCGCCCGATACTGGAAGAACTGGGTGGGGTACCCAATGTCCTGTATCAAGAAGGACAAACCGCACCTGTCACGTTCAGCTTGACGAACCGCTTTTCTGCGGTATCGAGTACGTTTGGTTCAAATCCCGGTGCATCGATACTTGGCTAACGCTCTCGCGTTCTAGGTGACCCAACTTCAGGCTCCAAGGCGGATTGGGTCCAGGCAAAAAGGCATATTTTGGCCACTCTCCGCGTGCAATCGGGGAAGACCTTGATAGACGTCTTGACGGCACCTGTAGCAGATGAAGATGAATGGATCTGGGAGGACGTTGTGGAGCGCGATGTGGCGCGCGAGAGAGCCAGGAAGCACAAAAGCTCCCTGCCTCCGATCCCCATGCCAAGCGGGACTGACTATAGGCTTGAAGACATCCGCTCGTAAGTGGTACCTCAGGGTGCGATAAACGTAACCAGACTCACATCTCTTCTTTGGATAGACTACCTTTCCGGGAAGTCAAGGCAAGAGCGATTCAGTATTGCATGAAGCTCGAAAAGGAGGCAATGTTATCGCGGCAGACGAACTGGCAAGATCTGCTGGACGACATTGCGGGGGATATCCGGACGCAGAACAAGAATCGGCAGCGTCGCAAGAAGGACCATGCTGCCATGAGCGAGGCTATGGTCTATACCTCGGAGAAGAAGGCCGCCCTCGAGGAGCAGATTTCTTCGTACAACAAGTATATCTCGTCAGCTATGGACACTATGCAAAAGCAAGGGTAAGCGCAAGGCAAAGGATCGTTCATGAGCGATACCTGACTCACAATCTTGCATTCCAGGAAAAAACGTTTCATCTGGCCATTATCTAAACAAGCTCGACATCTCAGGTCCATGCAAAAGGCGGGCAAGGCTGCTAAATTCGGTTCATACCGATATTCGGCGGCTGAGCTTTATGAAAAACGTCAGTCGATCCAAACCTCTCAATCAAGCTTAGTCTGCTGAAACGCTACCCCTTGACAAACAGATATCCTCTTGCCAGCCGAGCAGACCTCGCCTCGGCAGTTCGAGAAACTCTCCGTCATCTTGTCGTCCGACGAGGTAGGCGTGTTCACGCTGGACATCGTGTCACCTACCAACCAGGTTGTCGGGTCTTGCGAGATGAAGATGGAAGACTTGTTGCAAGCGAAGTTTGACAACAAGGTCACGCTCGACATGTTCGACCAAGTCGCTCGCGTCAGGGTCAACACGCTCATCTTCCTGATCAACAAGAGTGAGTGGGGGTTGCTTTCTCGTGACAGTGGCGAAGGAAAAAACTGAATGGATGTCTTTGCAGAATTTTACGCTTGATCGGCACCAGTTTCCTGGCGAAACAGACGATTGTATAGGTAATAGTCAGGATAGATGAAGTTCATTATTTATACCCCATGCACACAGGATGGTCCGCTACCTGTCTGGGGGTTTTGTCAGATGCAACTGACGCAAGTATGCCACCATGATGATGTCGCAATCGGCCTGTGGCCTTACTGACCGATAATCCGCCCCATAAAAGCGATTTCTGCTCGCACCAGTTGCCCCTGACCCAATCATACTGTCTCTTTCGGCTCTCTTGCACCAGGACTTGGCGGTAGCACCTTATGCATCTCTGTCTAATCAAGGCATAAGGGTATTATACAACTGTAGACGTTAAAGAACGGAGAGGTCGTAAAAGGATGAATAGAAGCCGGGACGACCTCGAGAGCGATGCGAAGGTCCGTGGAAGCCTCAACCGGGTTGTGCAAGGGCAGTAGATGTATTCGCCAGTGGGTTGCGGATTGCTGGCTGTCGGTAGTCGGTTCACCGTGGACGAGATTGTGAGATCCGATATTCCATTGTCGAGAACACGCAGATCATGCTCGTCCGGCGACGCCGTACTTGCGCTTGTCTTGCTTGTCGTAGACTATTTGACGAGTCGGGTCGCAGCGAGAGAGGTAAGTGAGATAAAGCGAGAAGCAGAAAAAGAATAATCAATTCAAGAGTGGCTGACCGTTATACATCAAGAGCTTCTCGATGAGGTCGACTGTAGTTAGGTGTGCGAGAACATCAGCTGAAGTGTATATGGCATTGAGGTTTCGGATGACCACTCACCGTGGGTCAAGATCATACGACGGCAGCAGTATCGTTTTCTGTCAACACAGAGTGACCTGTCAGTCTACAGCAGACGCCGATTGAACCCCGTCGATTGCGTACAGTCCGAGCTTGTCCATCGCCTCTCTGAACAAGCAAAAGTATGCGCTCAGTCAAATCAGCTTGAACAACAGAGATATCGCACAGAGCTGACTGGACTTACCCTTCTGACAATTCCGAGGCGAGGAGTTGCAAGTACTTTTCCCACAGGTTACCAACGACCTTGCCGCACGAAAAACAACGGACCGGGATGATCTGTGAGCGGGTTGGAACCGTCAGCCATTTGGCTTCGCGCTGGAAGTGCTAAGGGAGTTTGACCCAACCATTTTGATGAGTTCTCAGAGGATCGATGAGATTGACTGAGAGGACCAAGAGGGTCGGGATGATGCAGATGTGTAGAGGTCGTAGTGTGTTCAATTTCGAAGTTGACGGTCGAAAGCGAAAGCAGCAGCGGCAGGGATGAAGCGGACATCTGATGGTCACCGAATAATAAACAGAGTCATGTCCGTCGACAAGGTCGATGGGTCAGACCGGGACAAGGGTTACAATGATGTGATGCAATTGACGATTGGTTCGTATCTGCCAATTTGCCAACATAAAGTTCCCTCACTTCCTTTATTTCGTCTGCGTCTAGCCTGAACTCACCGACGAACGCCCATGTCCGGAACAAGCGTCAAGGACCTGCTCGGAATCGAATTCGACGATGTAGAGCTCGATCTCGATGTCAGGTTCCCATGGGGTCCAGAAGTTCACCAAGCGGTCAAGGAAAGGAAGGACCAACGGCCTGACGGAAGATTACTGATTGACCTCTTGATGATGGAGCAGTTCGCTGAAGATGGTGAGTCTGCCTGAATGTTACCGAGTACAGCCCGTTTGTCTGACGACCGCTTTAACGCGCATCCTTTCAGACCTTCCTTACCCACCTCGAGACCACGGGATGTTGATCGATTATATTACGACGTCAATCGAACAGAATCCTTCCGAGGACGACTGCTCCGTATACTATTTGTTACTGGACGTGGTCCACCAGGAGCAACAGACGGTCTCGTTTCAGGATCGCTCGAATCCGGCGGAACAGTACGCGCGGAGTCACTTCCTAGATGAGGCTACCATCAACCGTATTCGAGGTTACTGGTGCCTAGACCACGACATGATCGAGGTGAGCAGCTCGAGATTTGCTGATTATGCTCTTTGAGTGCGCTCATCATCTTGGCGATCTTAGGAGGGGATGTATCATTTATCCTTACCATCCGATCAGCTCGACCCGTACGCTCAAGAGATCATCCTCACGCTATCGTCCGTGAATACGAATTCAGCCTCTGTATGGCTGAAGCGATACGTGGACTTTGTCAAACCGACCTTGTCTTCGACAATACTGCGCGATGCCTACGTACAAGCGCTCGTGGAGCAGGACTTCGCGAGAGCTTGGGAATGGGTACGGAATTGGGAGTTTGAGAACGATCTCGAGAGTCAACGGGCCGAGCGATCAGGCCTCGAGGAACAGCGTTTGGATCTGGAGGACGGGACGGAGCAAGGGGCGGAGGCGGCTCGCCTGAGCAGGATTACGGGCGAGCGTGAACGTTTACTTGTGGTGATCCTCGACAAGATGATGAAGCGTAAGTGTACGACAGAAACCGGTAGGCATTTGATTACTCACGAACCGTCTCTACAGCCCGTGCCATGCGAAAAGCCTTCGAATCCTTGACGACCTCTCCCATCGATACCTTTGAGGAAGACATCTTGACCGCATATCTGCTGGATCCCGCGACTGGCCTCTCACAGCAGTCGTTTGACGTCCTGCACGACCTGTTGACGACCAGGTTACTGTCGCAAGGTCGATATTCCAACGCAATCGATCTAGACGGCAGGGTCACCGAGCTGGTCAGATCTAGTGATAGAGAGGTCGTCAATCCTCGTTTGAAACGAGAACGACGCCAGATGGTGGACGACATGGTCAGCCTGCTACCACGAGTGCAACGCGATCTGTTGGCTGCGGAGAAGACATTCAAGGACGATGCCGAACAGGACGAAGGCAAGATGGCTTGGGCTACTACTTCAAGCATCAGGACGAGCGTTCAAACGCATGAGACAGCTACCGCGATGTCAGTCCGGGCATCGAAAAGGGTAGTCTCCCTCTCAGGACTCATCGCAGCATCACCAAATCGGTCAGGTAACACCGCAAACGACTTGTACCAGGCCATCTTGCAGAATCAGGCCAATACCATGAGGGCACTGGAAGCCCATCCTGCTCCTCCAAGTCCGGCAAACAAGGCTCATATGGCCGTGCCGGCGCATCGATCACCTCGTCCAATCAGCCAGCAGCGAGCGCAGAGCCCGTTTTCAAGCCCGGTTAAGTTGCCTAGGAATGTCGGATCTCGACCAAATGCCCTGGCGGCATCTTCACGGCCGTCTTTCCGCTCACCTCTTTTTGCTCCATTGGAGCCTACGGAGAGCCAGGCCGTTGCATCAGTGGCTGACGGCGATGGTGATGCCGAAACTACGCCGGTTCCTTTGCGAAGGCAATCGCCCAGGCGTGGTGCTCGACCCATCGCTATTGAGCGAGCGGCTTCAATGGAGATTGATGAACCGGTACGAGCGCCGGAGATGGATGCAGATGTTGATGACCGGTCATCGAGACCATCGTCACCCCAGCCGGAAGAGACGCCTGTCAAGCCCAAGAGAGCTAGGAAGACGCATGGTGACCTAAACGCCAGTCAAGGTCCATCTGGACCCCGGTATGAGACGCGTAAACGCCAGGCATCGGTCGTAAGCAGTCGTGAAGGAACGGCCGAGCCAACTCCGGCTGTTGAGGTTCCGCCAATACCAAAGGCAGCGAAGCGGACGCGAGCCAAGCAAGTGCCTTCCGTCGAACCGATTGTCGAGATCTTGACCACCACGCCTCCTCGACGAACGAGAAAGAAGACAGCGTCGGCGGTTCCGGAAGAGCCTGAAGAGTCACGCGAGCTCGACCCAGCTCCGGCGGCCAAACGTGCTCGTCGAACAGCTGCGACTCCCACGCAGAAGAGTGCACCGCCGCCTGTAAAACGGACGGCCAGGCAGACAAGGAGCCAGAGCGTGATGAGCGAGGCGACCACCGAGGCGGGAGACGAATCGAGCCAAGCTCGAGCGCTGAGACGGAGTGGAAGGCTGTCGTCGGTCGTACCTGTATCGCCCGACAAAAGCGAGGCCGGTGGGGTCCGAACGAGACGTGGGGCCAGTCGACAGCCGTCCGAAACCCCTGCAAAGGCAGAAACGGCACGACCACGACGGGCTGCCACCAGGAAGTGATATGGCAGCTGCAATCGTTGCACCAGGACTCAATTGTACAGGCGTATTCGTGCTAGGATTGTTACATGTGGTTACATATCGACCCTCTTGTGTATCGTTTTCCTGATCATATCTATACCCTAGGGTACACCGCCCGTCTGCAGTGTTCGCACTGGCACTCCATTTTCCATTTTGAATTCCCCTCGTTCCAGCATGTTCATGAATTGTCTCGCCGAAAGACCTGTCACTTCGAGTAACCTGTCCAGTACTTGTGCCGGTTCGGGAGAAGGGAGTCCGGCAGAGACCGGTGGTCGCGCGGCATGGTCGGCCACTTCGTCGGAGTTGCTGTTGTTGTCGGTATTCTGCGTTCTCGCTTGTGTCCCGGACGAACGGCGAGTAGGGGAAGAATCGTCCTGCTTACTTGCGTTCGGTCTCGCTCGCGCTTCATCGCCGGGACTTGGGAGCAGCGGAACCACGGCGATCGGCCGAGGATCCGTTCCGACCAAACTCTGCTTTACAGACATGGGCGTGTGTGTCGGTAGAGATGAGCTCGGCGCAACGGCCTTGACAATCGGAACCTTGTTTCCCGGTGTCGGAGCTCCAAGTTCAAGCGCTTCCAAGCCCGTCTCCGACAACCCAGTCCCAGATCGAGCTGCAGCAGATCGTGTTTCGCCTTCAGACTCGGGGATTATGTCCAAGATGGGTTTCAACTCGGGCGTCCCTGTGGGTGCCCTTATTCCTGGTGGAAGTGAATGCTTAGGAGTAGGTCGGACGGGGGTTTGTACTGTGGCGGGAATGCGTAGCGGAATGCTGGCTAGTGTGGCCGGGACCGGCGATTGTGATGGTGACGCCGGTCTTTGTCTGTTCATGTCCACATCCGGCCCTTGAGAAACGGGAGTAGATGAACTAGAGTCTTCTGGAGACGAAGGAGGTACGGTCACGGGGATCGGCATGGATTCTTGCTCGACCTCCATATCAGACGGGTCTATCTCTCGATCTGTTGAGTTCCACTCGATACGCAGCCATTCCCCCTCCCGCTCGTCTCCCTCTTCATCGTCTTGCCCAGCTCCTTCTTCTCCTGCACGCCCGTTGCCGCCTGAAGAGCTTCCTACTACCTCGTCCTCCTCCATCTCCATCTCCTCGATGACCGGCCCGGCTTGTTCAAATTCTACCGTCCCATCCGGATGGTGAACTTCGAACCCAGCTCGCTCTTCCTCTCTTCTCCTTCTCGTGGACGATGGACCGGCTCGATTCGGTCCAGAGCTAGGACGGGGAAACAGACGAGGTCCGTTGGGTGGGAACGCTCGTTCCCTCTCATCCCCTTGTCCGTCGTCTCCCTGTCCCTCTTCTTCCTCCTGCTGGTTTCCGTTGTACCCAAACCCATATCCGAACCCGTGCCCGTGTCCGGCTCCATAGCGTGGCCCGGCTGCCATTCCCATCCCCGGAATAAATGGTATGAAAGCGTGAAAGGGAAAGAGCGGTCGGAATGCCCCTACGGGGACTGGGGGTGGCACGAAAGGGTAAGGGTGCACTCGATGATGATGATGGTACGGAGTTGAAGAAGGTGAGGGGGACGGTGGAGGCGAGTGATGATAGTGGTGATGATGTACAGTGGTCGTGGTATGGACGTGATGATATCCTCGACCTGGACCCGGGTGCCCATGCAATCCCGGGTTGGGCGATGCCGTTGAGGAAGTCCCGGGAAGGTAAGGAGGATGTGAAGGGTGATACGGTACTGGCATTCTCGAGTTCGGCGAAGTGCCCGGTCGATAAGGTGAAGAAGGAGCCTGGTAAGGTTGAGAATATGGTTGACGGCGCGGTCGACCGGGGACGAGCGGAATGGGACCCCTTGCTTGTGGTCGATGATCCATCATGGATAGAGTTGTGAGATCGAGACGACTCGACGTGTGAGAGATGAGCCTGTGGAAATGTTCAGATCATATCATGGAGTCGTGTGATGAAAGGAATCTCTCGAGCCTCCTCTCAGAGTCGAATCGAACAAAAGGGGGATGGGTGGACCGAGCGAGCGGCGGCGGAGTCAAACGTGATCGAGAAGGCGTTTCAGCTGGTCGAACGAACGAAATGACATTGGGTACCGCACAAAGTCGAGTCGTTCACCGCCAAGTGGTGCAAGCACATCACTTCAGTCGCAAGCACATTACCTGCTACCAGATCGCACCACTTGCAAGTTGTCGGACGATCGAGGGGGTTGAGTCGTGATGGCCCGCCCACACCGAATAGAAGCGCAGTGATAGTAATGACGCAACCCGATGCCGGCATTCTTCTGCCAAGTCGAGGCGCGCGAGCCCTGATGATGACGAACCGCTCGCTCGCAGCATAGCCATATCAGCATATCGCAAGCAACAAGCAGGTCGACGATGAGAGATCCTAGAGATTAGAGTGGTCGGAACATACTCATCAAAATCTGCAACTCGTTTGCTACAAAGACACAGTGTCCTGGAACTAGTCAAGCAGACCAAGACCGATTAGTACAACCCATCGTGTCGATACACCCGAGAACAAAGAACGAGTAGACACCGAAATCGCACCCACTATACAACGAGTAGGAATGCCGTCGACCACCTTCCTCGTCCTCCTCTCCGTCCTCGCCATCCTCGCACACGCTCAACCAGCGGTAGCGTTCGGAGCGGGGAACATCCCTTCGTACGCTTATCTCGAGGGAAAAGGTGGGTGATGACATTCCTTGGAAGCGATATGTCGCAGTGGATGGAGTGATTTCTGTAGGGGACAGACAGCTGATCGACTGCTGTGTTTCGCCGTCTCGCCTAAACGAACGCTTGGGCTACATGAATAGCCTTTCGACATGGAGATATCGAAGGTGAGCCCCTCGCCGTTGTCTGCTCTCACACAGGCTCCGGTCATCTCGTCGCTGACGAACCCCTCTTACTCTTCCTGCTCTCCCTCGTCTCACCGGAACCTAAACCCGATACCACAACCCGTAGACGTCCTAGAGAAGCTGGCCAAGACGGCGGGTGGAGGGTTTATGGCCGCACTCGGGGGTACCAAGAAGTTTGGGGGGCTCGACATCAAGGTCGGTCAAGCGGGTCTATTCGTCGTCTTGTTCTCCCTGGTAGCTGATAGCTGGATTTCGTACTCTGCCTCCCGTCACATCGTATCATCGTAGCGAGTCTACTTTGGAAACTGGCTTCGAGACTACTCTCAAGCGGTTGACAAGGCCGGGTTGCAAAAGTTGCCCTTGCAGACGATCATCAACGTGGTCATGGTCCTCGGCTTCTTGGCTCATGGTTACGCTACTGCCGAGTGAGTTTCCGTCCATCCCAACGAAACAGCTCTACCTGCTGCTGTATACCGAATGCAAGGCTTGATCATTGACGACGTCGCTTCTTCTGTTCGCTACCGCCCTGCCATGCGCAGGTTCGAAGTCACCAAGGAACGTCTCGGCGTCTACCTCCCCACGGAACACATTGACAACCCGAAAGATTACGCCGACAACGAGGACGCGCGGAAATACGACCCGAGACTGAGAGGACCGGTCGATCCGAGAGAATTGGAGGTGGACCCGAGGACGGGAATGAAGAACTGTGAGTGTCGTCGTCCGGGATGGGGTTTGGGTGCAGCGTCAGGCCGATCGGTCGTTGATCTGGTTCGTCTCATTCTCCTCGTACAGATATCGCCAATGGTAAGATCTGCTTCTCGACTTCCGTCTGTCTACGTACATCTGTCTGATTCGCAGACCTCGTTCTCCCCAAATTTCGCCAGAGAATGGCAGCTGGGACACGTCCAAATCGCTCGTCCGCCGCGTCTTGACCGCTTGTATCCAGGCGGGTCGAGAGGCCAGGTCTACGGGTAATAACGATGCCTTGTACGAGGCTTATCGGTTGATGGGCAGTGCGGTGAGTCTCGATCCGGGCGTGCTGGACGGCCCGAAGAAGACTGAATGTTGGAATATGCACCGCAGCTGCACACGCTTGAAGACTGTATGTTGGCCGCGTCCATCATCCAGAAATCACGATTTGGATATGCTGAATATCACCTTACCCATAGTTACCGCCCACTCGAACTGGTGCGAGCTTGCTCTTCAGTCCATGGGACATCGAGAAGTCTTTGCGCATGTCGGGCGTAACGTCACCGTGCACGCGCCGAACGGTCAGAACGTGCCCATCCTCGTTACCGGGACCTTTGGAGGCAACGATTTCATCCACTCGCTCTTGGGTACGTCTTTGGTTTGGCTCAGATAAGCTTCTTTGCATCGATAGCTGATTTCCGAATATTTCGCTATCAGGCGAGGCTGGCGATCATTTGAGTTCCGTAAGTGATTAGTTGCCGTGCAAATCACACACACATGTACTAACCCGGTTTGAAATGACAGGCTTCGGTGTCCGAGCTGAACACCAAGGTCGCATCGGCCCGATCCGCCAGCGGCAACGACGACGTCCTCCGTCAGCTCTTCACCAGCCTTCCTGGGAGCGCCGGAGGTCAGCTCAGTAGGGAGATGAGCGATGTGCAGAACATCAGATCTGGTCCGGGCGCTATGGATCCAGAGATGATGACCCCTCAGCAGTTGCACGATACGCTCTGGAAGGTGGGCGACTTGAAGACGCTCTTTTCTGGTACAGATCGTTGCACTAACTTCTTCCGGCTTGCAGGTTCTGTCTTTCAGGGATAGCGTCTCCAAGACGATCGAGAACACTTTGGAGAAGATTCCCGGGCTCGTGAGTCCTTTGCTTCGCTTTCAACCGTTGAATCTTCCGTCTAAGGCCTCGACGCGCCCACACAGGGCTCGCTAGTTGAGAAGATTAGCAGCAGCATTAGCGTGTTCGTCTTTACCACTCTCGAACCTTGTGAGCCGTCAACTATACTTTCGTTACGAGTCTACCATCTTGCTGATGGAGTGTATGAACAGACATGAAGCCCATCATCAAAAGCGCGACCACGGGACTTGCTCAGGGTAGTGCCGAGGTCATCTCGTCGCACGACCAGCTCGAGGTCTTCCACGACCCCAACGCTTCTGATCCCACCCACAGTTTCTTGAGTAAAGATCATTTCGTGAGTCGATGGAGGGTTGGGATTGTGCGCGAGTGACTGGTTCTCATGAACTTGCATATTTGTAACGCAGAATCTGATTTTGAACGAGTAAGCAAGGCCGTCAGTGCTACAGTACTCCGCCCCCTACTAAAAAGTCTCGTGGTGCAGACCCGCTGGCCAGATCGCGCAAGTCATTGTCGAGTATGCGGTCGAGAGGATCGTCAAGGCTTGGGATGATACCTCGATGGATCCTCGGCAGAGCACCGAAGATATCCTGCAGTGTTTGTTCCACCCGTACTTCCACAACAGTCAATGTGAGCAGATATTGCAGATCATCTCATCTCATCTAGGCTGAGACGGCCATCTTGTCACCCTAATAGCCGAGATTCAGCGCCTCATGCTGGAGAGGATGCGTCAATGTAAGTCGCGGTAGTTTGGAAACAGGCCCGACGGCGGCTGAGTGCGACCTGGATCGATGGAATAGGGTTCCAAGCACAAGGTCGCAACCAGGGCGAGATCATCAAGCGATTGTCGATGGATTCGGTCCAGAATCACAAGAACACGCGAATCGGTAGCACCGACACTGCTCACAATCACTCGCACGGCATGCTTCCCGAGGGGGGTTTGCAAGGATTTGTTGCTCAGCAGAACATGCATGTTGTGAGTCTGCCGGCATTGTCTCTAGCTACGACCGGAATCGCATCTAACCCGACAAGCGCCCGCGCAGCCCGGAGCTTCGGTCTTGAACGCAGGTCAAGACATCATGGGAGGCAAGATGCCTTGGCAGCAAGGATTCGGGACTGGCACGGCTGGTGGAGCTACGGCATGGAGGGGTATGGATAACGAGGGCGTCGCTCCTCCCATCCAGACTAGCGGGTATCACGGGCAGCAGCAGTCTTACAGCGCGCCCTCGTACGAAGACGGCAATGGCGGGAGCGGTGGATACAACGCTCCTCCTGTTCAGCATTCCAGCTACCAGGCGCCTCAGCCCTCTTACGGCGCGCCTTCGTATGACAACAGCGATAGCGGGGATTACCGCAGACACTCGCAAGGGTTTGCCGGCGGTGCGCCTTCTTATGGTCAGCCTGCTCCGCAGCAACACGCCGGGTATGGCGGTCAGTCGGGTGGTCACGGTTACGGTGGAGGAGATGCTTATAACAGCGGCGGCCAAGGAGGTTACGGTGGGGATGACTACAACAGCCGACCTGCTCAACAATCGTACAACGCGCCTTCCTATGGGGGCGGTGGCGATGATGACAGTGGGTACCCCGGTGCTCGTCGTCATCATCAGCCTGGCGGTCACCACGGCGGAACCGACTCGTACGGCGCTCCTGCTTATGGCGGAGGAAGCCAACCGGGAGGGTACGGGGGTGGGCCTCCTGGAGGATACGGTGGCGGCTATGACCAAGGTCCTCCTCCTCCTCCTGGCCCTCCTCCTCATCAAGGTGGATACGACCCTAATCAACAGGGCTATGGCGGTGCACCTCAATATGGGGGTGGCGCCCCGACCTATGGAGGTGGTTACGGTGGTGGATACTAAGTCCGCTGTCGCCCGGAGTCTTTGCTTGATCTAGAATGCAGTAGGGGTTTTCTACATATCCGTAATGAACTTGTGTTTAAGGATGTAGTCAGATGTCACGAATGCGAATATCTCCCCTGGCGGACGGGGTTGCCTGCCCCTGGAATCGGACATCTTCGGCCACGGGGTTGGTGACGTAAACGAGCCGCTTGAGCCGTTTTACGCGAGGGGAGCGCCCCTTTCTCGAGTTTCTCTTCCGTCACATTGTCGACGACCGTGACCCAACGTCAACCTCGTCAAAACCGACCAACCGCCGTCGACATCGTGCGATCACATACCCCTTGGTTAGAACATCCATCTAGACTCACTCCCACCCATATACCCTCTTCTCTCTTCCTGAGTACTACTCCCTTCTACAACCAGAATCAACGCATCTCAACATGCTCCGCACATCAGCTCGTTCCCTCGTCGCTTCCTCGTCCCGGTCGGCCGCCAGGGTCACCGTCCCTACCGTCGCCAGATCTGCTCAGCGAGGCCTCAGGACTTGTGCCGGTGTACAGGTCGCACGAACGTCAGTTTAGGGTCTTTGAAGGGCTGGCAACGTTCGCTAGCTCACGCTTCTCCCCGTTGCTCGCTATAGACTTCAGCAGAATGTCAACTTTGCTGCTCCTCGAGCGGCTTTCCACTCTACCCGCATGGTCGCTGGTGAGTCGAGTTGTAGCTTGTTAACGATTCGACAGCTCAGTCTTGACAAACATCTGCATCTGTCCAGCTCCCGAGACCGTAAAAGTACCCCAGATGGCCGAGTCCCTTACCGAGGGTACTCTGCGATCGTTCTCTTACGAGATTGGTGACTTTGTCGAGCAGGACGCCGAGATTGCCAGTATCGAGACAGTAAGTTCGACCGAAGCTCTTACCCCTGAATCCGTTCTGACCATGTTCAATTGTTTGCCTCGCTCAAACAGGACAAGATTGACGTCTCCGTCAACGCTCCCTTTTCGGGAACGATTACCGAGTTCTTGGCCAACCCTGACGACACCGTCCAGGTCGGTCAGGACCTGTTGAAGATGGAGAAGGGTGAAGGTGGCGCTGCTCCCAAGGCTGACGAGGGCAAGAAGGAGGAGTCTGCCGCTCCCAAAGAGGAGCCCGTCAAGGACGAGAAGAAGCCTGAACCCAAGAAGGAGGAGCCCAAGAAGGAAGAAAAGCCCGCTCCTGCCCCCGCTCCCAAGCAGGAGAAGAAGGAGCCCGCCAAGAAGGAGACCACTCCCGAGCCCGCTACCAGCAAAGCTCCTGGAGCTCGGGAAGAGACCCGGGTCAAGATGTCCCGTATGCGTCAGACTATTGCCAAGCGTCTCAAGGAGACCCAGAACACCGCTGCTTCCCTCACGACCTTCAACGAGATTGACATGACCAACATTATGGAGTTCCGAGGAAGGTGGAAGGACAGGGTCTTGAAGGAGACCGGCGTCAAGCTCGGTTTCATGTCGGCCTTCTCCAAGGCTGCCGCTGATGCCCTCCAGGCGTTCCCCATGGCCAACGCATCGGTCGACGGGGACCAGATCGTCTACCGAAACTATGCCGATATTTCTGTCGCCGTCTCGACCGAGAAGGGTCTGGTCACCCCTGTATTGAGAAACGTCGAGGGCATGGGTATGATCGAGATTGAGCAGGCCATCGCTGGGCTCGCCAAGAAGGTGAGCTGGCAAGCTGTGTGGACTTGACTTCAGGGCGTTCACTGACTTTGGCACCTTAAAAGGCCCGGGATAACAAGCTCGCTATGGAGGACATGAGTGGTGGTACTTTCACCATGTAAATCAAGCAGCCATCGCGTCAAGTCAATCCGAGCAAGATTGACTCATCCTCATCTAACTGCCGTTTTACAGCTCTAACGGAGGCGTGTGGAAGAGTTGGATGTCTACTCCTATCTTGAACCAGGGTCAGGCCGCCATCTTGGGTATGCATGACATCAAGATGAAGCCTTGGGTTGTCGGAAACGAGGTCAAGGTCAGGCCCATCATGGTCGTCGCCCTTACGTGAGTCTTTCCGTCTGCAAAGTCCCATGCTGGCTGTCGTTCGAAACTCAGGTTTGCTATGCGCTCGTATCAACAGTTACGACCACAGACTGCTCGATGGACGGGAAGCTGTCCAGTTCTTGTGAGTCTTGGCGATTTCTTCGCGTTGACGTCATCGGCTGATCGCCCATTCGCTGTCTCTTAAACTGCAGGGTCCGCATCAAAGAGAACATCGAAGACATGGGACGAATGTTGCTCTAAAAGCAGTTGGAGGGAATGTACACCTTTTTAATACGATATATGATCTGCATGACGATTCTCTTGCATGATGTGTGCATGTGTGTTACGAGATCTCGTTCCCCGATCAATTCCCTTTCCCCGCAGTTGCGCCGATCCAAAGTCGTCGTTTGTTTACTTTTGTCACCGGTCTCCTGCGGCGAAAGGGGATGGAGAAAGACCTTTGTGTGAACTTTCTATTCATCATATCGATCACATCAACGTCTATAGCGTCTATCGAGCAGTTAGCCTGTCACTTTCCAGCCGAACGGACGTGATCAAAATAGTTATCAATGATCCTCTGAGGCTCAGGTTATGTTCGAAGAAAGGGGACTCTGAACGAAACCAACCACCGATCACTTGATCACTTGCCTTAGTTAGGATCACATAGGGATAGGTATCTTGCACAATGGCGTGAGTCAAAGTCAAGCTTCAGCCTCCAAGGGAAAATACCTTGCTGATTGCATATTCAAATACGACTCTCATGTATCAGTGACATCCAGCAAGAGGCCAATGCCGAGGCCCTTGCCGCCACCACTGTCAGTGAACACACTGCTGAATACGAGCCATTGGCAATGAGCATACTGATCATCCTATGAAATAACCTCCCAGTCGTCCTTTGTCACCTCGTTAATCGTCAACTCGGTCGTTGCTGGGGTGGAAATCCTGGCCTTCATCATCATCCGTAGAAAGCTCAAGGCGGTCTACGAGTAAGCTCATTCCAGATTGACGTCCCTACATCACGGTCGGGATATGCTTAGGTATCCTCGTTTGGATCGACAGGCCCCGGAGTTATATGCCGCCACAGCAGAACCGCGTGCATGCATTGACCAAGAGTTGGTTGGGAGTGTTTTGGCAGATTTACAAGTCGGATGCGTCCTTGGTCTTGCAAAAGAATGGAGTCGGTAAGTGAACTTTGGCCGCGAGCACTATACCGACACTGACCGTTGTGTTCGCCTGCCAGACGCCTATGTATTCATCCGTTTCCATCGACTCATGCTCATCATCCTGGTACCCATCTGGCTGTTGTCATGGGTAATTCTCCTTCCCATCAACACGGTCGGAACAAATACGAATGGAAAAGAAGGCGTCGACAAGTTGACCTTCGGGAATATCGATGGCGATCATCAATCGAGACTTTGGGCCCACCTGGTCTTGGCATATGTCTTCAGCTGTCAGTCTATTTTGGGACCCTACGATTTGGTATGGGGAGTGCTGACATCCATGGCTACTAGTCTGGATCTACTACAACATTCGAAGAGAGATGGGCCGATGGGTCTTGATCAGGCAAAAATACCTGATCAACCCTGCCCACTCTGCTCTAGCTCAAGCCAACACAATCTTGATCACGGGTATTGCTCAAAGCTACTTGGACGAGCAGAGACTCGCTCGACTCTTCCATCACCTGCCCGGCGGTGTCAAGAAGATCTGGCTCAACAGAGACCTGAAGGACATGGCCGTTGTGCACGACGCTCGAGTCAAGGCGACCAAGATGTTGGAGAACGCGCAGGTCAAGCTCATCAAGAAAGCGGCTCAACAGAAGCTGAAAAGGGAAAAGACGAGAGAGAAGCAGTCATCCAAGGGCAAGAAGATCAGGGACGATCCGGACGAGATCGTCAACAAAAATATCATGCAAGGGGAACAATCGCCCTCCGCCTTGACCCTCGCCGAGCTGGGAAAGAAGATTCACAACAACGAGATTCTTGTCGCGGATCGTCTGATATCTAGGGACCAGAGACCTCAGCACCGTATCGGCGCCAAATGGTGGCTACCCTTTTCTGGCAAGAAGGTTGACACGATCGATTGGGCGCGGCGCGAAGTGTCAAGAACGACTAGGATATTGGAGGCGGACCGCAAACAATTGGCGGACGACATCGAAAAGCCGGGGACTGAAGGCGAGAGGTATCCTCCACTCAATTCCGCCTTTATCTACTTCCATCAGCAAATCGCTGCGCATTTAGCTGCCCAGATCGTGTTGCACGATCAGCCGTGAGTCGGAAGCACGCTCAATCGCTGTCGACAAGACAGTCGTCAACCTGACACGTTGCATCATGGGCTCTCTCTCTCTACCGCAGCTACCGCATGACGGGACATTATCTTGAAGTGGCACCGGAGGATATTGTGAGTGTCTTTCGAAAGATACTCATACAATGTCTGGAGGTTGACTGACGAGTGTAATATAGATTTGGAGTAACCTGGGTATCGACCCATACTGGGCGCAGATTCGACGTTTGGGCAGTTATGCAATCACGGCAGGTCTTGTCATCTTCTGGTCCTTTCCCAGTAAGCAGGAATCGATTGGATGCTCTCTGAACTCTCAGCTAAGGATAATGCGCGATATAGGTTCTTTCATCGGAGCCCTTTCCAACCTTTCGAGGCTTTGTCCTCGTTGGCCCTGGCTTGCTTGGTTATGTGAAGCCCCTTCAATCGTTCGAGGTGTAATTCAGGGAGTGTTGCCCCCGGTCTTGCTCGCCGTCCTCAACTTGCTGCTGCCTATCATTCTACGACGTGAGCGTTGGTGGTGATTCTACACATATTTCGACAGGCAGCTCATGCTCGTTCCCCTAATTCTGCTTAGTGCTTGCCCGTTTCGAAGGAGTTCCCCGTAAGACTAGCGTCGAGCTGTCTTTGATGACCCGATATACGATCTTCCTCGTATTCGTGAGTATGACATGCTTCAAGAAAGCGGCATAGCTAGACATCTAAAATTGACATTCGGCACTTACCCTCTTGTAGAACTCTTTCCTAATCGTGACGCTATCGTCGGGGTTGATATCCTGTCAGTACCACATACTCTTCGACGCACTGGTCTTGCACCGAGTTCTCACATGTAGCTTGCATTCTTTGGCGTTGGCAACAGCGTTCCAAGAAATTGGGCGGAACCCTTCTTCGGTCGCCACCATCCTCGCAAATCAATTGCCGTTGGCATCGACTTTCTTTCTCACGTTCACGATGCAAAGGGCCGCGGGAGCGGCCGGGAACCTTCTGCAGATCATCACCATCGTATTCTATTTCATCAAGCTCGTTCTGCAGGGAGGCACTCCCCGAAGCGTATTCAAACAGAAATACTCGATGCAGACGCCCGATTGGGGTCAGACGTTCCCTAACAGCACAATCATCGCTATTATCGGTGAGTAATGCAAATCATGGCTGGTCGACCGACCTGCCGCAAACTGAGTTTGCATCTTGCAGGTATCGCTTACATGATCATTTCACCTGTCATTACCGGTTTCGCGGTGGCCGCCTTTGCGCTGTCTTATATCATTTACAAGTATCTCTACACTTGGGTAGTAGGTATCTGGTATTTGATGCTCGACGCCGTTAGCGAAATGATATTGACACGTCTGCGATTTCACAGATCGATCAACCTCCTCATTCCGATACGGGCGGATTATTCTTCCCCAAGGCAATCACACATCTCTTCGTCGGGCTGTACATTCAGCAGATCGCTCTGTGCGCCCTGTTCTTCCTGGCCAGGAACAGTAGCGGTACTGTCTCGGCTATCCCTCAAGGTGCACTCATGGTGGTGCTGTGTGTTTTGACGGTTCGTTCACGTGTCGTCGCTATGTTTGAAATCACGCTGACCAGATGTTTATGTCAATCAGCTCGGTTTTCAGTATGGAATCGTCCACTCTTACAGCTCGCTCAAAACACCTTTGCCCTTGTCCCTCGCCTACCTAAGTTACGGCATGCCAAGGGAAGAGCACGATCGTACTGAGAGGGACGTAGCAGACGGGGAGTTTGATGCTCGAGCCATTGAAGAAGAGCGCGACCGTATGGAGAAAGAGAATCGGTTACGTTTGCCCGACTTCCAGTCAATCCGACAGTCCCTTCCCATACCTCCCGGCTTGAAGCGAAGATCGTCTGCCCGGACTTTGCCGCATCCTGAGGATGCCGATGACACTGTCTCGCACAGCCCTCCTCATTCAAAGGACAAGCGCCACAAGAAGCAGGAAATTGAAATGGCCAATATGGGTGACAAGGTGCAAGAGAAGGCGGGACAACTGGATTCGACGACGACAGAACAGCATGGAGATGGCGGCGACGCTGCTCAGAAAGAATGGGAGCAGCATATGGCAGCTCTTCGCGCGGGCTCGCAGAACGGCGAGGCACCCGTGTCAAATGGACAGGAAGCAGGTAGCGCTGTTCGCAACTCGAACGACGATGAATCCTACAATGAGAATGAAGGCGTCGTAGAGACGGACGGCCGAAACAAGACTGAATTCGCGCAAGATGCTTTCTCGCACCCGGCCTCTAAGGAACCGCAGAGAACCGTATGGTTACCTGAAGACGACTTGGGCTTGGCCGTGGCAGAAGCGGCTGACAACCGTGCTATTGGAATCTCCTCGACCACGACGGACGCCTATCTCAATCGCAAAGTAAGCCGGAACTCTCGCAGCAATTTCGCCCACCCCACATCGAGGCTGACACTCATCTACTTTGGGGCTTGCTTTAGGGCAAGGTTGAAATCACAGGACCGCCGCCCGATGACTTCGAAGGTACAGAGGAGTGATATGATTGCACTCAGCAAGGCTTTCGATTCTAGGGTATCCGTTTGCTTGCTTCTCCAGGCTTTGTTTTGCTTAACGACCTTGACGTTTCCTCTCTTCCATATACTGTAACGACCGAGTATGCACGTAATACAATCGATATTCATAACGCATATTCATTCTTGATCTCGATAACACAAACACAAGCCCTACCGCCAGGCGTGACGTCTTGTTCTTCACTGGTAAAGTATTGCTATACAGGATTATGACGAGGAATATCTAGCTGTGTTATTGAAACCAAACCATCGTCCTGAAATGTCTGCCATCAGCTCTTTTGTGAACCGTAAGTGTGAACAGGGCGCCTGATCAGGCCAGTCGAGGACGGACAAGAGCTAACAATCTCGCAATGTGGTTCTAGAGCAAGTACAGGTGATTCTGTATGACGGAAGGGTCATCGTAGTGCGTAACAGAGGGCCTGTGTCCTTCAATGTTACTAATCTCTGTTGTGTTCTTGCAGGGCAAACTGATGGGCTTCGACGTCCGGGCGAACATCATCCTGGCTGATAGCGTGGAAAGAGAGTTTTCGGAGGACGAAGGGGTAGAGATGGTACCACTAGGTCTCTACATGATCAAAGGAGATAATGTGTACGTCCGCTGGATCGAATGTTTCGAGTAGAATGCTGATATTCACAAATGCTGCGGTTGCACAGTGCCATGATCGGGGAGATTGATACGGACAAGGACGCTACGATTGATTACAGCTCAATACGAGCGCCGCCGCTCAACGACATCCGATTCTAGCTGGCAGTAAAACCAGGAGAGCAGCTCCCTCCATCTTGGGGACTTCTCACCATAGACGGAACGAAAAGAGGCCTACCATATAGTATGATACAACGCACGTATGGCCGCCGCTGCGATAGGAAGTCGCTGTATAACGTTGTACAACAGTCTCATTTCACGACCAAGCACCGGCATATCATGACAAACAACATAGAATGACCAACTGGAACTCTTTAGGATGTATATGGACGGCATGTCTTAGGTACACCGATACCAACCCTGATCTCCTCAGGCTACGAAGTACAGCGCGAAGGCCCCCTGGCGTCCAGCTCCAGCGATTCTAAATCATCACCATTTCCGGTATCATTATCCCGGTAGTCCTGAAAATTGGTCTGTAAAGGCTCATACCCACCCTCCCCTGCGATGTCCGGCGTCTTCGTGGAGGCTGCATTGCGTCCCGAAGCGCTGTACAAGTGGATCAGGAAGGTCATGTGAAGAAATAAGAGGAAGGATATCGAAAACACCTTTTGAATAGATCAGGGAAGATCAGCAGATTGGCTGAGCCACTTGTCGTTTACCATACTCACGCCGAGCCCGTAAGTTACGTGATCAATGCCAGCACTGTCAAAAGGAGCCCCAACATCAGTCGTCCGAAACCGAGCTATGCCATATTGCGAGCGACGTCACTCTTGAGCGTGCCGCATTTCCTCGTTGGTTGCGCTCATGAACATGGTCCCTCCCAGTATCAACAGCTGTGTGCAAGCATACAAATCAGTCTTGCTGAACCTGTCGAACGAAGGCTATGTTGACTCACGTAAGGCGGCAGATATTGGAAAACTTTGATATTGCTGGGATCGCTCGGACCGTCCTGTAGGAACAGGCAGATCTCGACGACACGACTGGCCCCGGCTGCCATGAGGGAATATCCAAACATGCCATGTATCTGGTAGAGGATATTGTCATGAAAGGCAAATGGCGTACGACACGGATAACCCTACCTTTGAGGATATCATCAGAGACTGTTCATGTGCTGACATTCCTGCGACAACTCTCATTAGCCAGCTATCAAGATCCATCTCGCATAGAGATGACAGAGCCGGTCCTCACCCCAACCGGTCACGAAGATTCTGTCCGGACAAGGCTCGGCTCAGTATTCTGGCACTGCATTGCTTGAAGGGGTAGACTTACATAAGAGCCGGTACAAAGGATCGTTTCCCTTTCCGACTGAGAAAGATGCCGAGCAGACCACCGCTCCACCCTAGAGATGCAGAAACCTACCCTATCAGCAACATGTCGTTCGATCTTGCTGACAGTCTGCTCACATAAGACCCCGAGCCTGTGGAAGTCAACTCATGAGCATTTCAGCTAATCTTGCACTCAGGTGATTGAAAAGAGCTCAGACCGACATCGTATGCTGCATATCCTTGTGCGACCAATGGCTATGCAACCAATCATCATGGTGCATCGTAAAGGTATTTACGATGCCCTGCAGTCTCGAACCAGAGCCACGATCTCGATCAAATAAGCTGGCGAGATCTCGACGCTTCGAGTACGTCTGGAAATGGCTCACCCATAGCATTATGACCCAAGAGTCCAGGTACTCTTGACTTTGCCCTTGTCTTTTCAGGAACTCGGAACCTAGGTGTAGCATGATGAGCATGATACAGGCGTACCCGTTCTATCGTACCACCCTTGTCAGCCAACCTGAACTAGCAAATCTGACGGCTCATCTTGCTCACGAAGGCAGAGCCCATGATATAGTGTGCTAGGCATTGCGGAGTCTCCCCATCCAGACAGTAACCTAGGCCAGCGATCACGCCCAGCAACATCTCTGTCCCCGACACATCGAAGGCCAGTCGAGAAGGTTCAGACAATTCGATAAAAAGGTTGTACTACTTACGAGTCCATCCAACAATCGGGAAGGTCTTTCCCAAGATACCATGGGTTCTGACTGCGATTGTTCTCGCTTTCGATCCTACGGGGTGCAATTTCAGATATATCCCTGAAGCGGCTTGCTGTTCCGAACAGGAGATGGCTTGACGATCAGCTATGTATTCTTCTGCAGGTGAATGACGCTTGAAAGAATCACCAGGACGAGCTGTACGATGATGATCCTGGCCATCACCGCATGAGCCTGGCACACGATGAGGCAAGCGTCAGAATTTATTTGCGAGGCAGGATATCGGCTGGGCAGACCCACAGTGGATTGAACTCCTGTCTCATGTCTCCATCTGTGCTTGTGACCAAGGAAGAAGCCGATGGATGTCATCGCTAGACCCAGAGTCTGAAGGGGTACGTGATACTTCGATCTGAATACCGGCACCCGTAGACAGGCATCAGCCCAGCTTGGCGGGGGATCAAGGAAATTAGCGCCTTGTGGATGTCCAGACTCACCTGGTTAACCCTAGCACCATTCCTATGGGGAAGACGAATCCCCAAACGATCGTCTGCACGACGATCTGAGAGGAACGCTCGTCCGTCAGACTTGGGCGAGACAGCCGATGTTCGTGATACGGCTCACGCACATGTAGGATGACGAACGTATTGAGATGAGGCCCGTTGTCTCCAGCATCGTTGGTCGGGGGAAGAACTGTGTGAGCTGCGACCACGATATTGCGATTTGTCTCTTCAGAATTGAGCATTTCACACTCGGAGATCATATCGGTCAATGCTCACCTGGTGAACCTGACATGATCCAGAAATTGCGCACACTCAGGTTGACGATCACCTGGTACACGAGCTTTGCCAGTGACTATGCTCGAGGTAGACATGAGATTGAGATCGAGAGCCAGCAATTATGAAAGATGGGGAGATAGCATTGTTATGATCCGTGGTCCATGATCGATCGATGATGACCGTCCTCCCTTTGGGTGTGACCCCTGAAACGCAGAATTGCGAGCGGAAGCATGATCCATGACCGAAGCCCGCGTGGAACCTTTGCCCGATCTTGACATGGGATCTTGGTCACTTATTGGGCTATCAACGGATGTCCAACAAAAGGTTTTCTAAGAGTGCCGCTGGCCAGGTCTAGAGAGTGTGACGAGAGGCAGAGTGAGACAGGAGGGAGAAGAGATGATCCGACGTCGATTTCCCCTCTGGCTACCAACCAGATCACCACGCTCGGCCATCTCCGTCTGTCGTCATCGCCGTCTTCACCTCGTTTTGCATCCGATGATCCGATTCCGAATGGATAGCTAGCGATAGCCCAGACCCGAAAGTCAAAGAGAGATATGGGCGACCTTGCGACTCGAGTGCTCTGCGCCTTGTGTGTTGGTCAACTGAGATTAGGATGAAGACGGCTACTTGTATACGCCTGTCACGATTGATGAGATCAGCCGACTCTACATCCTAAAAAGTCAATCCGTCCGCCTTCTTCCAACTTCGTTCCTCCCAAGATGACAACTCGGAGCGAATTCGAGTCTACCTACGAGCTTGAGATCATCCGTCCGGCTCCAGACACCCAGAACCAGACAGACCTGGACCCAGTGAAATCTCTAGAACGCTTATCTTCTAACAACAAACAAGACACTCTCGCATACTTGGAGCGTGAAGAGGTCACGGAAGAAGGAACGAGCAATGTGATAGAGGCGGAAGTGCCCCCTCCGGATGGTGGGTATGGTTGGGTCATCGTCGGCGCATGCTACATCATCACGTAAGTTATTCCTTGCGGAAATATCCCAGAACGAGCTGAGCTGACATATCCCTGTGCGTACAGCTTCTTCTATATCGGATCGGTCTACAGCTTTGGAGTCGTCTTGACACGCCTGAAAGAAGACGGTCTGGCATCATCGTCCACACTATCGTTCGCAGGCGGTCTGACGTCTGCGATGATATCCTTCTTGGCCATCATCAATTCCAACATCATCAAACGGTTCGGCAGCAAAGCGGTTCTTTTGGTTGGCGTTACTATCCTCGGACTAGGCGAAGTCTTGAGCGGATGGACCGTCAATAATATCGGTGGATTTTTCGTCACTGTGGGATTCGTCATGGGCGTAGGCACGAGCTTGATCTTCATGGCACGTTTCTTATAATCCGTCTTCTCCAATATTGGAAAACGAGTTGACCCAAGCTACCTTCGAAACCAACAGCCGTGCACACTCCTCCCGTCTCAGTACTTCAGCCGCAAACGAGGTCTAGCCATCGGCATAGTCTACAGCGCAGGAGGCGTCGGAGGTGCCGTCCTCTCGCTCGTCCTCGATGCGCTATTGACCAAGTATGGCCCCGCATGGACGTTCAGGATCTTGGGGTTCATCACTTGGGGGGCTTGTCTGCCCGCTTGTCTGTTGATCAAGGAGAGGCCTGGGAAGAGAAGCGCGGCGTTCATCGAGTGGTGAGTTCGGTCTATTGACGGGACAGGCAGACATATCGTTTGGTATTCAGCTTTACTTGTCTCGTGACCAGGTCATACTTCAAAGAACTCCGATACCTGACCATCTTTATAGCGGCTAGCCTGGGCGTCTTCCCCCTCTTCGTCCCTCCCTTCTTCTTGCCCCTGTACGGAACCTCGATGGGTCTCTCTCACTCGTCTTCTGCAGGGCTCGCCGCAGGATTCAATCTGGCATCCGCCGTAGGAAGGATCGCTTTCGGATTACTGGCCGATCGGATCGGCCCTATCAACTCGCTCATTATCGCCTTTGTCACAAACGCAATCAGCTTGTTGTTGGTCTGGCCCCTGAGTGGGAGTGTGGGACCTTTGATCGTTTTCGTAATTCTTACGGGGGTAGCAGCAGGTACGTGCGGGTCGAATCCGCAAGAGTATACCCACGCAGAAGGTTCACTCTCGGATCGCCCCGATTGTTTCACAGGCGCATTCTTCTCGCTCATGCCTAGCGTAGTAGCGTCCATAGCGACTCCTGCCACGCTACCCTCGGCGATGGGTATGATGGTGACGGGCTGGGGGGCTGGGTATCTGCTCGGGAGTCCCCTAGCTGGATTTCTGTTAGGTGAGTGTGCCTTTCCGCAAGGTAGTCTATACGCTCGACCGCTACTGACGACCATGTTACATGAATAAGACGCTTATGGTGGGACAGACAAGGGGTTGTCCGCGTACAGGCCGGCGATGTTCTACGCAGGAGCTCTTACCATCGTCAGCGCGCTCTTACTGATCGCCATGAAATGGAAGACTCAGAGCCTGAAGAAGCGAATGTAGTGAGACCAGCCAATAGATTTACTCTTGTGCGTATATAGCCTTTTCCGACGATATGCAAATTGTATACAGCAAAAGGCCGTGATCCTCATATACGGCCAGATCTACAAACGAAGATTTCGATATTCAGGTTGAGCCATCGGGTTTCGTCGCGGCTGACGGTCGTCAGACTTTACCGCGCGGTATGATGGGCTCGAGCTTGATCGATAACGCCTACTCGTCCTCGCCCTCCTCGCCCTCGTCACTGTCGTCATCGTTATCCTCGTCGCTGTCGTCGTCGCCATCCTCGTCGGTGTCGTCGTCGGTGTCGTCGTCGCTGTCGCTGCTGGGTTTGACAACCAGATCGCCCAGCTTGTATCCATGGCCGATCACGACCGCTTCAGCAATTGCCAGCATCTCTAGCGAGACGTCCTTGGTCTTGGTGGAGAGTCCCGATGACGAGCTGCCTATGGTCTCGTAGAACAAGCGATGACCCGCCCATCGACCTTCAGTGATTTCCGCGCCTTTCCGACCGAGATAGCGGCTCCAGTCTGCGGAATACGCAACGTTGCAAGCCAACACAAAAGGCGTTCTAAGTCGAATTTCGCTGTCATTCACGGCCCTTTCGTGCCGAATTAGAACACTCGAGTCCAGGTGTTCGAGAGTGTCGAGATTGATAATACGATAAGGCCATTTAGCGGTACCGGATCTGATCCAATGATCATCGTTTCTCGCGCTTCGAACCCATCTGCTCGAATCCTCCATAGGTACCCATTCGGCCTCGAACATTTCGCTCCACAACCGTTCCAGCTTCTTATCTTCTTCCTTCCGGCGATTGTATTCTTTAGCCCAACCAGCGTCGACCGGAATGTCCCATGTGTCCTTTGGAACTCGACGTTGTATCTTGTCGGCGAGACTTCGATACTCTACGCGAATCGGTGACTGAACCAGCATCCGCTTGCCAATATCAAAGCGGGTCTGCTCGATCAAGTCATGAAATTCGCTAGTACGTTTCACCTTCATGATATCGCAACGTTGATACAGGTGCGCTTCAGATATCAGCACCTCGTGTTGCGTGGAGCTATCCGCCTGGCGCTCGCTGTCGTGGAGATTGTGACCTCGCTCGTCTACCTCATCTTCCTCAGCTGAGTAGTAGTCCCGCTCATTCGGGCACCCAATTTGTGAGAGCGTTGACATCGATTTGACAATGTCCTCCTCCAGATCCGTACCACGACGAAGCGCTGAATCGTGAACTGACTTCCTCACATGATCCTTGAAATGTAGCCAATCATCTCCTGGCGAAGTGTATTCGCCCATGATAACGATACGCTTGCCGTTCCAGCACCGATTCGGATAATACTCCGGGCCCATAGCACTCTGGACATGGCGTCTGACTTCGTTTGTGATGGGCGCGAGGATTTGGAGTAGGGGCATACATGTCGCGGCGATATTCAGAAAATCCTGGTACTGGTCAATATGAGTCAAGATTTCGAGAAGCAGCTCTCGAGGTAGCTGCATGAAGGAGCTGTACTCTGGGTCCGCTCCGGTCACGGCTTCACTCGAAGCCCTCGAGTCCTGGATGCTCTTGAGAACCATTGCGAAATCTGGAAAAGGATTGTGCCACGGTCGCAGGACGTCGACGATGTGGTCGCCAAGATACCAAACGGTCTCTCCCAGTTTCCCTCCCGAGATGCGCACCTTTTCGTCCAAGTTCGCTATATAGTAACCCTGGCCCATCTTGAGTGAAGCGAAGCAGACAGCTCGGCAGGGTTGACAGAGAGCTAGTGTCGATAACGTCAGATCAAACTGTCGAATTGAGGATTCCATCGTACGCCGCACACCTTTTTGTAGCTTTGTAGCGGCTGGCAGAGCAAAAGCTGATTCAACTTCGTCACATCCTGCTGACGATGAATCATCTTGCCGCGGAAGCAAACTGACGGAGCCAGCGGTCTGCTCCAGCTTCAAGGCCTCAGTCTTCTCTCGGTGTGGTCGTCAGCATGCGCCGCCGGTGGTCGACAGATCGAGGTCATGAAATCTTCGGCAGGTTTCAGAACACACGCCCGATGAAAATAATGCACATGAGAAATGCAGAAGTTGTAAACAAAATATCGTGCAGTCCAAGGGTGTATCGCAAAACGATCAATACTGGTCTCTATCATCACTCTCACATTCCGCCAGTTTCTCAATACGGCCCGGTGTATCCACTGTTGGCCGTGAACTTGGGATCTCGAGCGCCGCCTGATGAGCTACTCGGAGTATAGTTTCGCGGCACATTACCGTAGTAATTGTTGCCCTGTAAAATCGGAAGGATCGTGTGAGCATTTTGGCAACGGTCAAGGGGATGTGAGGACCCAAACTTACGGTCATTCCTCCTACCAGTGATCCACCAGCTCCTCGGTAGGTCGACCCTACATCCTCCTCGATATAGTCGGGGTTGGGCTGAGGGAGGTCACACAATATTCGTCAGCCGAGTTTACAGGAAAAACTTCAGGCTATATCAGACTTACTGGTAGCAACGGGTCCTTGACCTCCCAGACCGAAGTCTTTGAACCGACGCTAAACTCGAGATCCTCCTTCGTGATGGCTGCGATCATATACCGGGGCGTCAGTCCTTCTCCTTAGCATCTACCGGCCGATTTTATTTCAACTCACAGTCCCAGTATTTGTAGACCATCATCACGCTCAACAGCATGCACAGCGTAAAGATGAATACTCCGTCAATGTAGTGAGAGACGGCATCACAGATGGTGTTGCTAAATGCAATCATGATGACGACCCCAGCGACATAGAAGAAGACTCCGAAGAGCTGTTCGAGGGCAAGCCAGTAAGCTTGACAAGCCAGGTTCGGTCACGCATCTCCGATCCACGTACGATATCGCCGATAGCCCATCTGTCATCCAGCGTTCGGATAACCAGGATCAATTGACTGATCACGTAGATGAGGAAACAGACCCCCGGGAAGATCAAGTAAGTGATAAACAGCCCGATGGGCTTGGCGTTGCTGAATCCGGCCAAGCTCTTGAAAGTGGCGATCGAGATGAAGAAGCAGACTCCCCAGATGACGAGGGTAGACAGGCGGAGGAACTGCAGAACAGGAGGGATGTGCGATTAGGTTACTGTGCAGGAGATTGACGAGGCGATGGGTAAGAAGCTTACCCAGAGCGACATGGGCGTGCCGTCTTCGGCGAATTGGAACCCGACGAAACCGTTGATCACGATACACCAGTACAAGGCTCCGATGAATCCAGCATAGACCGCCGTAAACCACTGCATATCGAGAACAAGGTGTTGGAGGTCAGCGTACTATCTTACCTTGTCCGTCTTCAGGATCTCTGCGCGGTGGACTTACGGGATAGACAGAATTGGCTGTCGGAATGATCCCGCTATCCAAAAAGATTGCCAGCAGCTCGATGACCATGTAGAGGTAAAAGAACATGACGATTTCTTTTCGTCCGACGGCGGTGTACTTGGATCGAACGTGATATACCATGATCAGGGTCATGAGGATAGCGGCGATATGAACAACGCATGATGCTGATTTGATGGTATGAAGTGGCACGATAGGGCGTAATCAGTATAACTTGATTCCGGCTTTAGCTTTCGAATGGCTCGAGTCCGCCAACTCACCTGGTTGGAAGATCAGCTGGCTACCCAACTGTACATTCCTGCTGTAACAGTTCGGCTCGACCCCGTTTTCCGATTGTAGCAATGGGCAGACGATCAAGGCCGCTCGTTGACAGAGGGCAGTAAAGTCGCCAAACTTGGCTGGGTCCGTCTTGGTTGCCGAGATGGACATTGCAGGCGAATTATGAGGTTTGTTGAGAGGGGGAAGAGGGGATCTGACTTTATTCGTCCTAGCTTTGGGGATGGAAGAGGGCGAGACAGGGAATGATATACGTTGACAAAGACACGTTTGAGAGGGTGTCAAAAGAGGTGAAAGGGTCGAAGAGTTGACGTGATCAGGGATCAAAGTTGACGATATGCCAGATCCCGGTCGGTCCGTCTCAAAATGATCGCCTAGTGGTTCAATACGCAAGGAGGCAACGGCGATGAAGATATCTTGTGGGAACCTATCCAGGGGGGTTTCCAGAGTACAGATGTGAAAGGAATCCCTCGTCTCCTGATTTTGCGTTGTAGTTGTTTGTCTGCTTGTTTACGCGCGAACTCGGCGGCCAGAAGATAGGGGAGCCCCGGCAGTGATGATACTCGACGTGGAGGGCTGTGAAGGCTATGACGATACAGTAGTAGAAGGTAAATATGGATTGAACACGGCTGGCCAGGATGGTGATGCTATGGGCGACGTCAGAGCACTTGATGAATCGTTCGTGATCGGATTTGCCCTTGGCCAAAGCTGTGAGGCGACGAGAGAAGGGAGGCAGAGGAGGGGTAAACATGCCATTCCCTTGGACGCGCGAAAGGTTACGCACCGCGGATCGCAAAGAAGAAAAAAAAGAGGTCACAGCGTGTGTTTCAAAGTGGAACACCGAGATCGCCCCAACTCCTTGTCACGTAGCACCCTACACCAAAATCACGAAGCACCGGCCTGAGACAAGTTGTGCTTGTCGGACGGTCCCCACCGACGATATTTCCTCGTATCTCTCCCGCTTATCTGACACTTGCCCGTATGTGGTGAAGGCGACACACACATCGACTGCCTGACCGACGTGTGTGTGGGATCAACCTTGACGAGTACGATGGTTCTGATATTGTCACAGATATTAATATGCAGCGCCAATCAGCTTCCCGTTCATCGGACAGCTTACCTTCCCGAGCTTGCGTCCCTCCGTCGTAGTTCTAGAGTGCAGTTGCTTGATGTACCGTTGTACGGGTGAACGAAGACACGTTCACGTCCAACGAGATGATCATCACAACTTCTTTCTCCACAGGTACCTAGAGCGTGAGTTATAAATTAGGGGAATGAATGCCTTGGCTGCCAGAATGGTATCCGCGTGATTCAGCGACTACCGAAAGAAGGTACCCTGGCGCAGGACAGACGCGATTGCTAGTTGGCGTCAGAGTGTCGCTGTGAGCCGCCTGACATCCGGTCTGTACATATATTAGACATGATACGTCCACCCCCCTAGCAGATTTGTATAGATTGTATCAGGCATGCCGATATCATCATGCTCGAGTGTTCGGACTGAAAACCTCGCCTTGCCAGACGTCTGCGCGTGCCTACACGGTGTCGCAGAGAGGACCCATCCTTGACGAGCGACAGATATGAGCTCGCCCCGTTACCGATTCGGCGATGAAACGTGATAGAGCAGCAGTAACCAGGATCTTGACTACTAAAGGTGCTTTTCAACCCTATGGATCTCAATGGCGAGTGATGCTATGCTCGCAAGATTCTCCTGGTTTTAGCTCAATCTCGGCAACGGCCACAAGGACGAGGTCCTGACGAGTCCGCCCTGGTGGCAATTTGGTCCTGCATCTGACTGGGCTACCCGGCGCAAGAGAATTCGGCGTTTTTCTGGGGGTGGCATGCGAAGATGAAGCAACGCAAATGAGGTGTTGTACGAAGGGTCAATGTCGCCAGAGGCCAGAGGTCGAAACCTGCGTTAACATTTGCCTGAAACACCAACGCGCTCGGGTCGATCCGGAGATTTCCGGGATTTCTCACCCGAGCCATACGCGTCGCCCCCACCCGTCGTCGACCCCGCTTTGGCTGACCACCGATTAGGGCCTAACCTCCCAATCATCGACCTCGCGTTTTGGACTTTGACCTCGAAGTCAGGCCTGCTTGCGTCAACATCTCGAGCTCTTCGCGATCGTTTTACATAGCTCGGATCAGTCTTTAGTAACGGCGATATTCAACATGTCTTTCGCTCTGTCGTCAATGAAGCCCATGATGGGTAGGACCGGTCTGGGGCTGAGGTTGATCTCGACCTGTATGTACAGCTTGTGTCAGAAACGATCGAGCTCACCATCGGGTCGCTGACGATAGTTGCTGCTTGTCTCTGTTTCCCTCGACACCATTCATAACAAACCGCCAAATGTCGGATCCTGTCCGATCATCATTCCCTTGCCACCCTTCCTTCGCACCGGGGTGCAAACATTGTCTGACCAAACAAATGACAAATCGCGTCCGTTATAATTCCCGAATACTCAGCTCGAGCTGCCGCTGTACAATCGTCCAAGATCACCTCTGCCGCCGGTGTTGCCGCCAACGAGACTGCCGGATTCAAGTACATCCCCGGTGGACGTGAGTATCAGACGTAGCTTGGAAAGAGGCCGCAAGCATGTCGTCTTGGTCAAGAATCAGGAACGATCGATGCGTCGAGGATGAAGGATCGGACAGCGATTTTCGGGCCACAGAAGGCCAGACGTAATGGAGGTCTGCGCCCGTGATCCCAGAGAAACCACAACAACGACACTGCGTCCATCCATCGTCATGGGACGGAGACAAAAGTCTCTCTATCAACCTACAGTTTTCTTGCCCGGTCAATCCCTTTGCCCCAATCGCTCCCCGCGTAGGCCGCGCAAAACTGCCTGCTTACTCGATTTGCCATGTTGATACGACTCGAGACTGACAAACCACCTTGCCGTTCCCACAGCCGTTCTTCCCGGTACCGTCAACGACGCCACCTCTTTCCCTCACTCGGACCCTTCGCACGGATCCAGGCATTGGGTCTTTGAGCGAGCTCTCTCGGCCGCTCTTGTGCCTGTGATGGGAGCTGCTGTCGCAGCCAACCCGGGAACTGGTGTTTACGTGAGTTTTCTTTTCCATGAGAACGGGCGAAGAGGACGGGGATGCAGGGCGACAGGCGATCCGAGTTTGCAAGAGGCAAGACATTTGGAACGCTGGATGTGGGAGAAAAACTCATGGTCTGGAGACATGGATGACCTTGAATTAGACTCGGGTTGCTAGGCATTATATGCTGGAAGCATCTTTGCGGTCGCTACCTTCAGCCTCTGTCTCCCCTTGAGCTGGACCATTGAAACGTTTTCCTGAAAGAGATCATAGAGCTAATCGTCATCGATCTACCCTGCACAGCCCGTCATTGACGCCATCCTCGCTACCTCTCTGATCGTCCACTCGCACATCGGTTTCGACTCGTGCATCATCGACTACCTTCACGAGCGCAAGATGCCCGTCATCGGGTTCGCCGCCAAGTGGCTCTTGCGAGTCGCCACCGGTGCCAGTATCTGGGGAGTTTACGAGTTCGAGACCAACGATATCGGTAAGTCAATGTCTCGCATCCCGGACTTGCGATTCTTATCGTAAGGTTGAAATAACCGGACTCTTTCCTCTTGATACAGGTCTCACCGAGCTCGTCCGACGCTTGTGGACGGCATGATGGGATTGACTGATATTCTTTGGAATCGTTGAGACTCGGGAACCGACCTAAACTGACGTTTCAGAAATGGTGACCTCGACGATCTCGAGTGGACAAATGACACGGTTCTGTCTTGTCATCCGTGGTCGAGCTTGTATCAGTATGAACTATAACCAAATCCAGAGCTTGTAGGTGTTGTGTGTTGCCTTCGTCAGAGCTTGTGGTGTCAGTCAAAACAATCGAACAGCCTCAGGGTACCAGTGTTCTGGGTGTGCACCCAGTGCTCAAGCAGGAGGACAACGCGGATTCGTAGACGCGCAAGATTCCGTCCCTTGCGACTGCAACGGCACAGGCACCACCGGGGAATGAGCAACAGGAAGACGGATCCACGTCGACCGGTCTCGGCATTTTACACCTCGAGGGAAACAGGCGATCACAACAGTTTCACATGAACAAAGCTACGAGCGGTTTTCGGGTCGAGAGGGAGCTTTTGTTTCGGTCGAGCTCAGTTGGTACGTGATGCGCGGGTGCCGAAATGCTGGCTTTTGCGCTGTTGCCAAGTAGTCGTCGTATGCGTATAACCCGCAATCTGTACAAATGCTGGCTCTGCTAGCTCTGCTGGCAGACAGATAAGAGATCAAGAAACAGGCCGAGACCCGTGTGCCTCATGCCTCCCGATCGCTCTATCCCATGATCGACAGAAGAAGCGAATACGAATGTCCGTCTAAGCGAGAGAGGGGTGGTTAATGGACGTTTCGTCAGGTGACCGCTCGACGAACGTCTGGACCAATCAGGATCGTCCAGGCCACTTGAAACGCAGCAATGGGTCGAATCGAGGGCCGGTTCGAGCGGGCGATGGCATCGTTCAAAGTCGATTTGTGACATCAAAAGAATTGGTACAGGTCACAGTATATCTCTGTTCTGCGTCTCCTGATCGATGTGTAAAGACAGACAGATATCGAGTGGCGAGTAGCAAGCAGCCTGGGTCCTCCGAGATCAGCTGAGGTGGTCAAGAGATGATGTGGCAGCATTTGCTTCCGACGAGTCGCGCGCGAGTAGACTTGTCGTTGACCGCGAGTGAGGGGCAAGCGAGGGGCAACGACCTGCTGTTCCCGTGCTCCTCACGCCGCCCTGCCCCCCCCCTGCTCCAGCTCTCTCTCTCTCTCGCTGTCACGCTCCATCTCTCCATTCTGCTCCCACCTCGTCATGCCCAACCCATCCCATCCCCCCGGAACGACCGACCAATCCAGGCAACACACTCTCACACTCATACACAACCTCGAACTATAGCTAGATCGACATCCACCTCTTCCAGTCGCATCGAGCTACCTTTGCAAACCCGCATTCTAGCCTTGAAACACCATCACCTAGACCAGATCGCGAAACTCCGTCGTCTCTTTTGTCAACAAGCAAACACGTCACGGAATCCAGCCCTCGCGACTAGAACTCAATTAACGCTCATACACTCGACGAGAGACTCAATCTAGATTGTCCATTCAATCTCGGTACGCACATTTCGACCTCGTAGGATCTCGCCATCAGCTCATCATATTCTTCCATTGCGCATCTTGCTCCCGATCTGCGCAGCACGCACTCGAACGAGCACGACGAGCCATCTCTGCCACCTTTGTACGCCGGTCCTTGAAACAGGGTCACGATCGCATAACCTCGTACTGATCTTCTCGCTGTTCTGCAGGCGGACATTTAACCTTGTTGGACCTCATCGGAGCTTAGAATATCGTGAGCAGCGACTCGGAGCACGTTGCTTCTGAAAGCAGGGCGGCTGAACATGGGTCGAACCGTTCTTATAGCTATCCTCCATCGTCGCGTATCCTTCTCTCAAGGGATCTCGATTTCTGCAACGACACGTGAGTTGGTCCTTTCTTCACCGCGCACGGTAATCAAAGGTCGCCATTCGCTTCAGTACTTGAGCTCACACCGTTTACTCGCTCTCTCCTTACTGTCGACTCTCATCGGCTCGTCTCGACCTCTTTGGGCAAACGCATCTCGCTTGCATACGCGACGAATCGCCCTCCGCCGGACTCGGCTATACGTCATCCTTCCCATCCTCATCGCAACACGACCACGATCACGACGTCTCTCGGTTTTTTGAACTTTGCAGCGAAACCGTCAGCCGATCACGCACGCCCCCTCCTCTGGCAAACTTCGCACCCAAACCGCGTTTCCAGCCATACGATCCCACCTCAAACGGTTCTCCTCTCTCATCTCCGAGAAGAGGAACAAGCGCATAGACTCGACATCTTCGGCCAACCAACGACGAGCCGACCCTACATCTGTCTTTGTCGATAATCGCGACGACGACAAGAAGACGAACCAGGACAAATTCAAGAGAGAAGAAAGGATCGAAGAGATGTCTTCTGTAGGACACGTCAATGGGGTCAAGGTCTCGCGTGAGTAGAATGCTTGCGGTGCAGAGGGCATAGGACTCCAAGGGATCCGAGCTGCAGATAGAGGCTCGCCGTACCTGCAGCTCGTATCTCGAGGGCCCTCGTGCCTGCTCGCAGAGTCACAGTAATTCCAATCCATGAGAGCTGACTCATGACCTGACTGTTTCCTCCTTTGATGCACGACAGCGACCGACGATCCCAACCGCTTGGTCACCGTGACCGCCTCGGACGGCAAGACGGGCGACGAGAGGATCATCTCGTACACCTCTTGCAAGATTGTCGGGAACGGGTCGTTCGGTGTCGTCTATGCCGCTAGGATGTTGGGCGAACAGCAGGAAGATGGGAGTGAGCGGCCGGAGAGCGATATTGCTATCAAGAGGGTCTTGCAAGACAAGAGGTTCAAGGTAGGTCTCCCATGCTGTTCAGGTTGATGGCCAAGTCTAGCCGGTCAGAGAGAGCTGATTCGGCTTGCATTTGATCGGTAACGATAGAACCGAGAGCTGCAGATCATGAGGCTTGTGGAGCACCCCAATGTGGTTGATCTCAAAGCTTTCTTCTATTCGAACGGCGACAAGGTGCGCAAACGGATAGGCCCTTTCACACAATCGATACAGATGCTAATAGTCCATTGTCAATTTTTGTAGAAGGACGAGGTGTTCCTTAACTTGGTTTTGGAATACGTGCCCGAGACCGTCTACCGAGCTTCGAGACACTACGCCAAGCTCAAGCAGGTCATGCCGATGCTGCAGGTCAAACTCTACATGTACCAGGTGAGCCTGCGAGCGATCAGCGCGCGCTCGAAGCCTTTGCTGAGACTCGCGCATGACCCGCTCGTCAACAGCTTCTTCGATCGTTAGCCTACATCCACTCTGTCGGAATCTGCCATCGAGACATCAAGCCCCAGAACTTGTTGCTTAACCCGGCAACTGGGATCTTGAAACTTTGCGACTTCGGTTCCGCCAAGATCTTGGTGGCAGGCGAGCCCAACGTCAGCTACATTTGCTCGAGGTACTACCGTGCACCCGAGTTGATCTTCGGAGCCACCAACTACACAACCAACATCGGTGAGTTCAGAATTAGCGAAGTCGAGAAGTTTTGTTCGAGGCTGATCAAATTTCATTTGGCACACCCCAGATATTTGGTCAACCGGTTGTGTAATGGCCGAACTGATGCTCGGGCAGCCCCTCTTCCCTGGAGAGTCTGGTATCGATCAGTTGGTAGAGATCATCAAGGTCTTGGGTACCCCATCGAGGGATCAGATCAAGACCATGAACCCCAACGTGAGTCGTGCTTGCCGGCCTGCATTCACAGGCGATCTGAGTATAGATTCGGTTGTTCGCGAACTTTTCTGCAGTACATGGAGCACAAATTCCCTCAGATCAAGCCTCATCCCTTCACGAAGGTCTTCCGACCACGAACTCCCGCCGATGCCATCAGCCTTATCACAAACCTCTTGCAGTACACTCCTACTGCTCGAAACACGTGAGTGACATACCAATCAGGACCCAATGAGTCCCGACAGAATGTTCTCGCTAACTTGACTGACGCTCATGTCTGCAGTGCCATGGAAGCATTGACACACGAATTCTTTGACGAGCTGAGGGTGGAGGGTGCCCGTCTGCCCAACGGCAAGCCTATGCCGGAATTGTTCAACTTTACCAAAGAGGGTGAGCCGCGAGTATTCGAGTTGCTTCCTTGAGTGCAATACTCAATCGCGTGTTCTTGTCGCAGAACTTTCTGCCCGTCCCGACCTTATTCACCAGCTGGTACCGACCCACGCTGAACCGGCTTTGAAGGGTATGTCGAGCCCGATCCCGATACTGATACGCCATTCGCTGATTGACTCTTGTTCCAACAGCCCAAGGCATCGACGTTGACACCTTTGTGCCAATTCCTCTGGAACAGCTTCGAATCACTCTAGATGTCAGTCTGCGACCGCAACCTCAAATGAACCAGCTCGTGCTAATGGCTGTTTTTGCTCCCCAATTTAGTGATCTATTCCTGACGGTTCTATTTAATTCAACGATTTCTTTTCCGCTCCATCCCTTTGCCTGCCGGTTGAAACACCCATGTCCCGTGCCCTTTGTGAGCGGAACGACCTTTCTGCATGTCCCATTATCACCCCCTTCGTCCAACGAATGTATTACCTGTATGATAAGCACCGTATCCTGAGCATGATTAGCGATAATATCGGTCTCTTCTTCGAAACTGTCGTGGAGTTGCGATTTGTCAGGAAATTTTGGTCGATCACAAGATTGGCTCCCTCCGCATTGGAAAGGGGTTTGGATCCCCTTGTTCTCCTTTCAATCTGAAGACAAAGGATCGTCCGGGCTTCGCATCGCATATGAACTATACTGAGCCGCATTGAGTTTGTCGTTCCCAACCTGGCCGTCTTCCTTCCCTCGGACAGAACAGCACTCATCTACCCCAAAAATGGCGCAGAACAATCTCGAAGAGCTATACGAAGAGTATCTTCGATTTGCTCTCGACCTCGGTCGCAAGGTGATCTTTCCCGATCTAATCAAGCATGCTTCATCCTGACCGTCCCCTGTTGATAGGGCGGAGATATGATCAAGGCTGGTCAAGCGAAGCGGTTTGAAACGTTTGCGACGGTCGAGACCAAGACCACGGCGACCGACTTCTTGACCGAGACCGACCTTGCCGTGGAGGCCATGATCCACAAAGCCATCAGCGAGACGTACCCTCAGCACAAGTTGTAAGTCGTATATGCTTGTAAATTTTCCAGCTGGGTAGCTGATTATATCCTGTACGTGCAGTGTCGGTGAGGAGAGTCACAAGGGAGGTAAGGTCGAGTTGGATGATGAGTGGACCTGGATCATTGATCCGATTGATGGTCAGTGTGAGACTACGACTGGTGACTCCAGTACTTGAGCTGAAAGCGATGCCTGTCCCCACAAACATCATGTATCAGGAACGAACAAGTAGGCCCGGATTTCGGCTTCGAGTTTCAGCTTGCGCGCTGACGACCTGGCTTGGATGACAGCTTCATTCATGGCTTGTGAGGCAAACGTCCTGTTAGTGATCGATCCCGACTGACTCGACCTTCACATGTCGAAATCACGTCACAGCCCATACGTCGGCTGCTCTATCGGTCTCACACACAAGAAAATCCCGGTAGTGGGAGTCATTTGTCAGCCTTTCCTCAACGAGCTGGTACGGCTAGACCTGGTCATGTTGGATCTCGAGGGGTACTGATCGTAGACACTTGTTTGCTGCTGAACCAGTACTGGGCCAAGACTGGAGGTGGAGCGTTCTTGAACGGGATCCGCCTGGGTGCTCGGCCTCAACATTTGAAGGATCTCAGCGAGTGCAGCGTTTGTCTGCAATGTAAGCACACAATATGGCTCGCCATTCGGCAAATCAGTTGAACCCTTCTCGGATCGATCGCAGGGGGCAGCGGAAGAAAGCCAGAGATCATGGAACCCAAATATGACAATGCGAAAAAGTTGTATGCGGGGCGGGAGGCCGGAGGCAAGGAAGTTCACGCTATCCGGATCATCGGCAGCTCGACCGGAGCCCTAGCCTGTCTTGCTTCGGGACAGATCGATGTCGTTCAGTATGTCGCGATCGCAAATTTCAGCATTCACGACGATCTCTAACCCTGTTTTTGTCATTGCAATAGGGACGCCCTCAACCAGCCTTGGGATGTCTGCGTAAGCTCGTGCAAGCGCGATTCGGTAACCTCGGACAGTACCTAACTAGTATTGACATTCATCAGGCTGGCATGGTGATCATCCAAGAGACAGGCGGATTTATCTGTGGCAGCAAGCAGAACTTCCTTGAGGGCAAGAAGGAGACCCTCGGAGAGATCATGCTGGGCAGACGGTACTGCTTCATCCGGGCCGTCGCGCCTAGCGAGGTGAGCGATCCGCTTCAGTATTATTACGGTCTGCAGATCTGTCTCAGCTTATCAATCTTATTCAGACCGAGACCTCCGTCGAAATCCAGAGAAGGATTGCTACAGAGATGTACGAGAGTGAGTCTCGAAGCTGACTGTAACCAAGTTGATGTGTCGAGGCTAATTTGCCTACCGGCAACTATCAGCGATCGAAGAATGGCCGAGGCAATGAAGCGATCTCGACTATGCTTCTGGCATCATGCAAACTGTACTGTCGTGATATGTATGAAATCTATGATGCACGAGGCAAGATCCTAGACATCCTAGTGGTAAAGAAGGTGGAGAGAAATAACAGCCGTAGCTTGCCGATTACAAGTGGGTAGAAAGAGGGGTAGAGTAAAAACGGATCCCAAAACACGGCTCTATATGCTTGCCCCGACAGGGCCAAACCCAGAGGAACGACCTAGGTGGTGCTCTAGAGCTCACCGGACCTGATCTTGGAGGAGTAGTATCGGACCTAATAGCGAAGGAGATTAGCATCTCCTGCGAACAAGAGTCGAAGTTTAAACGTGTGACTCACCATCTCCTCAACTCCCTCCTGAACACCCCACCTGGACTTCCAGCCGAGGACCTTCTCAGCCCTGGCGGTGTCGGCCCTTCGCTGCTTGGGGTCGTCACCGGGAAGGTCCTTGTGGATGATCTCGACCCTCCTCTTGAAGGTACCCTCCTCCTTCTGGACCTTCTCGACAATGTCCCTGACAGCCTCGGCGAACTCGAGGATGGTGAACTCGTGCGAGCTACCGATGTTGATCTGCAAATGGCGTGAAGGTATGTGAGCTGACTGTCGCCGATGGGCAACGAGTGCAAGTGTTACTCACGGGTCGGCTGTCGGGACCGTTCATCAAGAGGATAAGACCGTCGACCAAGTCGTGAATGTACTGAGTGCCAAAAAGACATCTTTAGCGAACTGGACGATCTGTTCATGAAATGACGCGTATTCACCTGGAAAGACCTGGTCTGCGAACCGTCACCGTAAACGGTCATGTCCTCACCCTTAAGGGCCCTATCACACAGATAAGTCTCTTGTCAATACGAGAGCGCAAATGAACTAATCATCATAATGGAAGCAAACTCACTGGACGATAAAGTTGGAGACGACACGTCCGTCGTAAGGGTTCATCCTGGGTCCGAAGGTGTTGAAGATTCGGGCGACACGAACGTCGACGCCGTCCTGGTTCATGTATCCGTAGGTAAGGGTCTCGGCGACACGCTTTCCCTCGTCGTAACAAGCTCGGATACCGGTACAGTTGACGTTACCCCAGCTATCACAGGCAACCCGGAAACGTCAGCGTCTGCATGAAACTAGACTGGACAAGCCTCGCCGCAATGCGACTCACTATTCCTCGTGCTGGGGGTGGACCTCTGGGTCACCGTAGACCTCGGAAGTGGAAGAGATCAAGAACCTAGCCTTGGTCCTCTTGGCGAGTCCGAGCATGTTCATGGTACCCATGAACGAGGTCTTGACGGTCTTGACCGGGTTGTACTGGTAGTGAGGGGGCGAGGCGGGACAAGCCAAGTGGTAGATCTGGTCGACCTCGATGAGGAAGGGCTCGACGACGTCGTGCCTGACCATCTCGAAGTTGGGGTGACCGACCCAGTGGGAGACCTGTATCGCAGGGGGAACGACGAACGGGCTGCGTCAGAAATCGTCGCGAGCACGAAGGTCCAGAGTAACGGGTTACATACGGTGGTCCTGGAACCGGTGAAGAAGTTGTCGAGGACGGTGACCTCGTGACCGAGCAACATCAATCGGTCGACCAAGTGGGAACCGACGAAACCGGCACCTCCGGTGACTACGAAACGGCGCAAACAAGAAGACGAAAAGGGAAGACGTTCAGAAATAGCACACAATGATAGAATAGATGAAAAAATCAGGTCAAACCTAATCAGCAAACCACTCGCTAGCGAGAAAAGAAAAACTCGAGCAAAATTCTAAACTCACCCAAGATCCTCTTCCTCTCGGCGTTAGGGAGCAACTTGACGGGAGGGTACTTGGTGTCGCTCGAGTAGGCGACGGTGTTGTTCTCGGCATTGTAGTCCGACTTGGCACCGTACTGCTTCTCGATCGAAGACTCGGGAGCCTTGCCGGTGTCGACCTTGGGGGCGAGGTAGAGGGATCGGAGGACATCGACCGAGATCTGAGAGTCGAAGTTGAAGTTGTCGTAACCGACTGAAGACGAGGGAGCAAGGGACAGGGTGAACGGGTCAGTTTGCGTCCGAGTGATAGATAAGCAGACCGGATCGAGGAACTCACCAGTGGTAATCTCAGAGGGAGCCTGTACATCGAGAATCAACAGAGTAAAGTAGACGAGGAGGGTAGATGTGGATCAGCTTAAGGTGTCCTGCCACCTTCCACGACTCCTCGTTTGAAAGCATCGAGACGATCGGACCGACGACTTCGCCCTGGGTTCTGCTCTGAACGCTGTACTCACCATTTTGTAAGAGTCGTGTAGTGGGTTTGAGTAGGCTTAGTAAAGAGCGTAAAAGTTGAACGAGGACAAGGAGGCTCGAAGAAGATGTAAAGAGAGGGTGGAGATGGAGAGATGAAGAGTCGAGGTGGGTGGAGTAGGTAGTGGTTGGAGGGGAGTGGGTGGGTGATTATGGTCTGCTGTTGCGCTGTTGATGACTTTATTTTGTATCCTCGTCCTCTCCCCCCACGCGCGTTTTCGCTGGCAGCCCCCCCTCCTCTCTCCTCTCCCCCCTTGCGCTAAGCCGAGGAGGGTCGCGCGCACAGATGTCGGAAGCAACCGGGCGGACAAGGGAGCAGGGAAGCGAATCACCACGCGAAAGATCCGAGCACGTTTTTCTTTCTCAAGAAGAGCTCGGGCACGAGGACAGGGGGGGAAGTGCCGACTTGTCTCAGGTACAATCTTCGCTCAACCTTCCGGAACCAGGTCTTTCCCCCCGGAACCAGGTCTCGTCCTCGTCGTTCGTGCTTCCGGATCTGATCTGATCGATCGACCCGCCCAGCTAGCAGTTAACAGCTAGGGTACAAACGTACAATCAAGCTTCTTGTTTCACCTTGACCGCTACCTTTTCTTCAACCACTACTGTATCCTACTCCACTTCCACTGCCTAAGACCCGAAAATACAGAGTAGCCTAGACGAGGATTAAATAGGAAATTTGGACCTCATTTCGGCAGAAAAGAATGAATTACATAATTGAGATACAATTGACCTATAAATGAGTGCTCATCTCGTCCTCGTTTGGGCCTATTCAATTTTTCGGCATATCATCCTCATTTATTCGGCTGTATTTTGTTGATATTCATTTACACCTCATCTCGCCGTTTCGGTCATCCCCGCTTCTCATTTCTGCAATGTTTAATGACGCTCCACTCATTTCGCGTTTGGTCGCGTCGAATGCACGCGTTACCCCTTCGAGAAATTGTCGAGTCTTTGTCGACTTAGTGATGTTTTGTTCGATGTTCGATAGCCTCGACCTCGACCTTGACGTCCTCGTATCCATACTTCCCTGCTTCATATCTTCTCCAGCTCCGCTTCAGCACCACTTATGCAACGTCGACTATCTTCGCCGCCTTGCTTGGCTTGTCTCTGGATCTCTGGCCCTCTTCACTATGGCAGGAGGACGATCGCGCAACCTGGTATGTCCTACGACTGAACGATCGTTATGGTTCAGCCGCCATGTTCTGACCTGTGTAAATCAGCGTGTATGTCGATGTCATCATTGCAGTGTTGGACCCCCTGGCTATATGTCCGTCAGCTATACGACCTGGCAAAGACACAACCCCCCAAAGCCGCCCGCAGGCAGTCAACCTCGTTCCCATCGAGAAAGGACCCCGTTCTCCGATGTGTCCTCTCCCAACTTGCCCAATGGCACATTGAATCTCGGAGGCTCTGAACACACCCCAGCCCCGGCTCCCACGTTTACGAACCTCCTCGATGACCCGGCGGATACCGTATACGAAGAATACGAAGGATTTGACGTAGACGATGGCGGATCGTTCGCATCGGCGGGGATTTCGGATTACCGCCAGGACTCTGAAGACGAGCTTGACCTTCAAGGCGAGGAAGTCGATGCGGAAGACATGCAGGATCAGCCAGCACCAGATTGGTGGGGAGAGGATCGGTACGATGACGGAGAAGACGATGAAGGCGATGACGGTCTCCTTCGCGTTCCACTGGCTCCAGGTCTAGGTCTGGTCAACGAAGACGGCCTGCTAGCATGGCCTGACGACCGACCCCGTCTAGAAGCTGAGGACCTCGTCAAGCATCATCAGCTGGACGCTCCTCTCCGTCATCTTTTTACAACCATCGCATACGGAAAGGCTACCGGTATGAGCTATGCGTCCGCCAACGTACAGCTCGATCATATGACTACCGCAGTCGAACTTGCCACGGGAGAGGTCCTTGAAGGTCGGACAGCCCAAGTCAAGACCGCCCTCTCTCGAATAGGAGTGAACCCCGACGATCTGCTCACTCGGTACATCGTCTGCCCAAATGTGAAATGTTGGAATCTCGTCCCCTACCGACAACTTTACGAGCTTCCGTCCCCGTTTTGCACCGCCGACGTCGACGAGGAGCAGTGCTCGGCCCGACTTTACCGTACCTCAAATCACATACGGACCCCGATAAAAGTCATGCCATACTCCAAGCTGTTGTCACAGGACGATCGATATCGGGCCCGACACGTTCCTCGCTTTCGGCCGAGATCATCGAGAAGCCCGACAACCCTTACGTACGCGTCGCTTTGGAGATCGGACTTTACGGTACAGGAACGCACAGATCCGTACGCGAAGCGAGGGAAAGGACGTCGAAGCGAACGAGAGAGAAGAACGTAGACGAGTCGAGAGGCGAACGATGTAGAAGCGCAGGGAGAGAGGTCTAGAGTCCGCTTCCGTACGCTTCGGTACGAGTATTTAGCTTTCTGTAATGTAGCGTACTTGTTATGAGACGCTTGAGTACTGAATAGGACTCAAGCGTCGATATTACATCTCTTCGATACTTGATCATCGTACAAGAGTAAAGGTCACTATCCTGACGGTTAGCCACCTCTACGAGCAGTTCCTTACAGTAAAGTACCCTTTCGCGCCGGACTTCACCTTTCGCTTACGCGGCTAGCCCTCCCGTGACATTATATCGACGCTTTACTATGCCTCCCTTGACTAGAAACACTAGCCAGGCCAGGCAGGAAACGGACAGTATGGAACGAAACCTTACGGAACAGGACAGGATTGGACAAGGACAGCGATTCGAAGGACAGTACGGCAGGGACTTAGATGAAGAAAGTAATTTCGAAGGAGAACACGCAGGCGCAGTTCAAGAAGAAGGACGAGTCAGGACAGAAACGCACGAAGAGTTACTTCTTCGTGTACAAGAGGCCGAACGAGTACAGGAAGAACAGGAACAAGAAAAGGAAGCTCTCACTCGAGAGTTGATGAATGTTAGGGCGGAAAGGATGTTAAGCGGTGAGACTGAGTCCGTTCCCGCTCAGGAGCGGGCTGAAACGTACGAAGAATTACTCCGTCGCGCGGAAGAAGCTGCACGGGACCAAGAGATTCAAGCCCAAATCAACGAGGCTTTAGCTCGGGAATTACGAGAGCTCAAGAATCAACACGGAACCGGACAGAGAATTGCTGTACGGGGAATTTCTGAACAACCATCGATCCGTTCGAATAGGACCATCCGAGAACGGATTGAAACTTCCCCGGTTGGGTACGTTTCGGCGCTGAAACGTCCTAACGCGCACGCTAGAGACCCGTACGCGAGACTTGAAGAACTTTCCAGGGAGGAACAACTTCAAATCATGAAAGATAGGGAAGAACCCGAAGACGACAAGGTCCAAGACTCGAAGGGCCTCACGCCGGATACCTTTCACGGGGATCCGAAGAAGGTGGACGAATTCTTACTGCAGTGTACTATTTCGTTTACCTTACGGAAGAGTTACTTCCGTAAGGAGTCGAAAAAGGTCCTAACTACAATCGCCCGTTTCCGCGACGAAGCGGCCCTTTGGATTAGACCGTACATGAACTTACCGGAAAGTGCGAAACCGGCCTTTTTCAACGATTTCGAGCTCTTTCAGCAGGCAATGAAGGAACAGTGGCCGGTAGAAGGGGAAGAACAAGAAGCTAGAAACGTAGTCTCGACACTACAGCAAACGGGACGAGTTACCGAGTATCTGGCCCGATACGCACTTTATGCTCCTTATACGGGCTATGACGATGGAGCGTTGATCAGGAGCGCAGAGAACGGTCTCGAGATCAGCCTCTATCACAAGATCAAAGCGGCCTTAGACGCGCCAAAGACATTCGATAGGTGGAGGTTGTGGGTTGTTGCGCACGAAAACGCACAGATCGGTGCCAATAACCAGATGTCAGAACATCGAAACAATCGGAACGCGCAGGCCGGGATGGCACAGGGCTTAAACGAACAGCGACAGTACAGATCTGTTCGTTTCACCCCTCAGGCGACAGCACCCGTTCCTTACCGGAGTTACTCAGCCCCTATTACCGGTAGGCCGGCAGTAAACGCTCCGTCTGGTCCTATCGAGAACTATGAAGAGAGGAGGAGTCGGGGTCTGTGCTTTGGATGTGGAGAGAAGGGGCATTTGGGACGTGATTGCCCCAAAAGGAACGGATCTGCCCCAAATAGGGTAGAAGAAAGGGGAAGGGCAGCTTACGTGGAGGATGACTCGGACTCGGGAAACGATTACGCAACTTACCGATCCGTCCGGTAAGTTGCGAACAAGGACAAATGGGCGGAGAAGGGGAGAGTCAGGAGGAAGGGAGGATTCGAATGCGGATGAAGGGCTCGCATACGGCCTTTATCAGGGCGGTACTGGACGGAATTGACGGAAAGGTGGATTTGGTGTTGGACAACGGGACTTCGCAGAGCGGGATCGACCGGAAATGCTCTTTAGCATTACGTTTCGATGCGAAACCGTACCCATTTCCTCGGAAACTTCGCTTATTGGATGGGTCGATGGCGAGCCAGCCGATCACGCATTACATCACGGTGAGAATATCGAAAGGAAATTTGGGGCCTTTTGAAGTCGATTTAGCCCTGTATGATATCGAGTCGGGAGGAATCGTACTAGGATTGGACTTTCTAGTACGATTCGGGGCGAGAATGGACTTCGAAGATATGACCTTGGGCTTCTCATCAAGTCGAGCTCGGGAGTTCAAGCAAGAAAGGTCTGAACAAGATCGAGCAGAAGTGTGTCTTTTAGGACGGAAAGGGACGATCCTGAACGAAGAATCGATGGAATACCGGGATCCAGTGCTGAAGGCACTAGTCGAGGCAGAAGAAGAAGAACCGGACTGGGACATGACCGAAGTGTGCGAAAAGGTACCGAAGGCTTACCATGCTTTCCTTGATCTTTTCAAACCGTCCCATTCCGAGCGACTTCCTCCACTACGGGAAGGTTTCGACCACGCAATAAACCTTATCGACCCTCACAAGTTGCGAAAGGCGCGGGTGTACCCTATGTCCCACAAGCAAGATCAATGGTTACAGGCACATCTGGAAGAAGGCGTACGGAAAGGTCACTATGAGCCCTCGAACCATTGGTTTGGGAGCCCAGTCTTCCTTATTCCGAAGAAGAACGGGGAGTTCCGGTTGGTCACGGATTTTCGGGAACTGAACAAGCAAACGGTAAAGGATATCTACCCTTTACCACGGATTACTACTTTATTGGAGAGGTTACGGACGGCGACGCTCTTTTCGAAGTTTGATATGCCCACTTCCTACCAACTGTTGAGAGTACGGCCCGGCGACGAGAAATGGAGTACGATTCTCACACGGTACGGGGCGTTCAAGTGCAACGTCATGCGAGAAGGGATGTCGAACGCAGGAGCAAGTTTTCAACGTTTCCTCAACGAGTTGTTCCACGACCTGTTGGATCAGGGAGTAATCGTGTACATCGACGACATTTTGGTGTACAGTGCGGACGAAAACCACCATGTGCGGACGATTCAGAGCGTTTTCGCACGTTTACGGAAGGCGGGACTGTATTTGAAACTGTCGAAGTGCGAGTTTCATCGAGAGAAAATCGAGTTCTTGGGCTTTATCGTACGGAACGGGGCGATAGAGATGGAAGAAGGGAAATTAGATGCGGTAAAGTCCTGGCCGGTACCGAAGACGGTGAAAGAGATACAGAAGTTCTTGGGGTTCGCAAATTTCTACCCACGTTTTATCTTCAACTTCTCCGGAGTGGCAGGACCTATGACAAAACTGACCCGGGCGAGTACGGCCTGGAACTGGGATTCCAGCGCGGAAGCTTCCTTCCAGGGACTGAAAAGGGCGTTTACGGAAGCTCCTATCCTGAGGCAGTTCGATCCCGACCGACCGTGTACGATAGAGACGGACGCTTCAGACTACGCGATAGCTGCTGTAGCAAGCCAACGTTTCACGGATTCGGACGGAACTGAACACCTACGTCCGGTGGGTTTCTTTTCGAGGAAATTGAAGCCCGCCGAACTCAACTATACGGTGCATGACAAAGAATTGCTTGCGATTGTGGACGCTTTCGCCCATTGGAAGCCGAATTTACTGGAGAATAAGCACGCTATAGAGGTGCTTACGGACCATCGGAACTTGGAACATTTCCGAGACAACAAACAACTGAACAGACGCCAAATCAGGTGGGCGGAAACGCTGCAGGACTATTACTTCCGGATTCGGTACAGACCTGGGACAAAAGGTTCGAAACCGGACGCGTTGACAAGGAGGCCGGACTATCACCCAGGAAGGGGTACGACAAAGGATCGTGAGTTCAATCCGAGTAACTTCACCTCGTTGTTACCGGCGGACTTGTTCGTAAATGGACGATCCGGGGTCATAGAAGAAGGAGAAGGTACAGAAGGGGACGGGAACGCGAGTTTTTTGGAGTTGGTGATTGAAGGATACGAATACGACGAGGAGGCAAAGGAGGTGCTGAGGGAGTACTACCAAGTGATACCAATTGGTGCAACGCACGGTAGGATACTGGACGGCTCGTTTTGGGGCGTTTCCGGAGGGTTTTGGAGGAAAGGGGCGCTGTTGGTCCCCGAATATCTCGATCTACGCAAGAGGGTTCTACAGGGACGGCATGATTCCGTACTGATCGGTCATCCGGGTCGCGACAAGACAATCGAATTGGTTGAAAGGGATTTCTATTGGCCAGGACTGAAACGCTTTGTGGCCGAATACGTACAGTCATGCGCGGAATGTCAACGAAACAAGTCAAAGAAGCATAAACCGTACGGAATGTTACATAGTCTTCCGGTACCAAAACTTCCTTGGGCGGAGATATCGATGGACTTCGTCGAACAATTACCGATATCTGAGGGTTTCGATTCAATCTTGGTAGTCGCGGATCGTTTTACCAAGGAGGCGCGCTTCATTGCCACGAAAGGGACGATGACGAGCACGGATCTGTGCCAAACCGTGCTGAAGGAGGTTATTTCGAAGACGGGACTGCCCGATTCAGTAACAAGCGACCGAGGAAAACTATTTGTCAGCAAGTTTTTCCGAGAACTATTGCGATTACTGAAAATCGAGACACGTTTTAGTACGCCGTACCACCCGCAGACAGACGGGAACACGGAGAGAATAAATCAGTCTCTCGAGGGGTATTTGCGGACTTATTGCGGGTGGAACCAGGACGATTGGGTACGCTTACTGCCGCTGGCGGAGTTTACCTACAATAATTCGGTACATACAAGCACGAAGACGACCCCTTTCTTCGCAAATCACGGGTACCACCCACGTTTCGACGCGGCGAACGAACTGGGAAGTGCGATTTCGCCCTTGGCCGTACAGAAAGTGGTAGAGATGGATAAGCTATGGCGCAAGTTAGAAC